ATCACCTGGCACCCCACAGCCCGAAATGTGCTTCTCAGTGCAGGTCTGCACCACTCCCCACTTCGTGCCTTTCTCCAGGGTGATTGTGAAGTGTTGAGCAGCCTCTCACAGACCAGTCTAACAAATGGGGAAACCAGTGTAGTGCCAGAGGAGTGGGCAGAGTGGGTCTAGTGGGCCGATGGCCCCACACCTTCGTGCCTGGACCTGCTTGAGCGATGACCGCTTGCCTACCAGGTTGTGACAATGTGGTGCTTATCTGGAATGTGGGCACTGCTGAGGAGCTGTACCGCCTGGACACTTTGCACCCTGACCTCATCTACAATGTGAGCTGGAACCACAATGGCAGCCTCTTCTGCTCAGCCTGCAAGGACAAGAGCGTCCGCATCATTGATCCCAGGCGGGGCACCCTGGTGGCAGTAGGTATCCCCAGAGGTCAAGGATGGCAATATATGGGCTCAGAGTCTTGATCCGCACTGCACTGACTATCTATCCATTCTACAGGAGCGGGAGAAGGCTCATGAGGGGGCCCGACCCATGCGGGCCATCTTTCTGGCCGATGGCAAGGTGTTTACCACCGGTTTCAGCCGCATGAGTGAACGACAGCTGGCACTCTGGGACCCAGTGAGTGACATAGCCAGCTTAAGGCAGGCAGGCTCAAGACCTGGGCCTAATCCTAGGATACTCCTCCCTGGGCCAGGCAGACAGAGATCAGCATAGAGGAGAAACCTGCACTGCTTAGATCCTCAGCCTGGCCCTTGAGACTTCCAGGACCTGGCCAGCCCCTCCCTTCCCTGTCTCCAGCTTTCTGACTCTCCCTGACACTCCTCCAGTGTCTCCCACATTCTTCTTTCTGCTTGCACAAACCATACAGGTGCCCTCCTGGGAGCCCCCAGCCCCGCCCTGCTATACTATGTCTCTCAGCAGAGACTCCTGTACAGTGAACTTGAGGCCTGGGTTGGTACTGCCTGGCTCCTCAGCCTTCCTGTAACCAGACTTTCTCAGCAGTTGCCTATTGGTTTGGGAATAGTCTTAAGGCCTGGAGAAGGCTGGGAAAGTGGGACCTGGGATTGGAGAAAACCATTAGCATGTTGGGGGAGGTGTTGCCAACTGTAGTGTGAGACTGGCTGAGGCCAGTCCTACAGTATTTGGAAGGAGAAGATTCTGACTTGGCCTGATTGTCCCCCATGTGCTTAGGAAAACCTTGATGAGCCCATGGCCCTGCAGGAGCTGGATTCAAGCAATGGGGCCTTGCTGCCCTTCTATGACCCAGACACCAGCGTGGTCTATGTCTGTGGCAAGGTGAGGCTGAATGGGGCAACGGACTGGGGCTGAGAGGCAGGGAAGGGGTCTGGTCAAGTGCTGAGGTTTCTTATTCCCACAGGGTGACTCCAGCATCCGGTACTTTGAGATCACAGATGAGCCCCCCTACATCCACTTCCTGAATACATTCACCAGCAAAGAACCCCAGAGGGGTATGGGTAGCATGCCTAAGAGGGGCTTGGAGGTCAGCAAGTGTGAAATTGCCCGGTAAGAAGGTCCTTTGAGGTCTATAGGCAGAGTTTATTTGAGGACCCAGCCAGGATTGGCAGTGGGGTAGCGGTGTCAAACTGAGCAAGGCCCGGTCATCAGCATCCATGGTAAAAGTTCAGATTGTGGAGGCTAAGTTGGGCGTGGTGAGATACTCCTGTTATCCCAGCATTTGGGAGTTAGGAGGACTGCAAATATAGAGGCCAACTAACCTGGGCTTCATAGTAAGTTCACTGTCAGTTGAGCTGCATGTCAAGACCCTGTCTCAAACAAAACAAACAAAAACAAAGCAAAGGGCTAGTGATGTAGCTCAGTTGGTGGAGTGCCTGCCTAACATAAAGTCCAGGGCTCTACCACAACACTAACGCAAAAGCATGACACATCCCTGTAATTACTCAGGAGGTGGAGCTGGGAAAATCAGAACTGCAAGGTTAGCTCTATAGTGAGTTCAAGGCCAGCCTGGGATATATGAAATCATGTTTCAAAAAATAAAGGGAGTAGTGGCACAGACCTTTAATCCCAGCTTCTTGCAGAGGCAGGCTGATCTCCATGAGTTTGAAGCAAGGGTGATCTGTATAATGAGTTTCAGATTTCCAAGGCTACACAATGAGACCCTGTCTCAAAAAAAAAGAAAAAGGGAAAATCACAATCACAAAGTTGTCCACGGTCACTCTAGAGGGACTCTTGAGACAGAGGCCCTGAGCACAAGTCACAAGTCAGCCTGTATGTGGGTCTCAGGCTAGCCTGTGGAAATGTCCAGGTGGGGAAAACGGAAAGGTGTAGGGGGTCCCACCATGGCTCCCCTTTTTCCAGGTTCTACAAGCTACATGAGCGAAAGTGTGAGCCCATAGTCATGACCGTGCCAAGAAAGGTAAGGCTGCTGTAACCCTGTCCACCCACTCCCTTCCCTAGCAGAAGGCCACACCAGGGCAATGGGCAAGACTGGTAAATGAGTTGGAGGGATGACAGAGGGTGAGCTGAGGCCCTGCAGTGACAGAGGCCAGGCATGCAAGAGCAGGGTGGCAGGGATAGAAGGCCTCCCTTAAGAGGAAGAACCAACAGTAGGATTGGGATGGTGCTGTGGGGGAGGGGCTAGAAGAAGGACAGGAGCTCTAGCCATTAATCCCGTGGGGAGGGGCCTGACCACATATGATGTGGCCTCAGATGCCCAGCCAAGAGCCTGGAACACATTCCCACTGTCCTCCAGCTGGTGTTCACAGACTCAGTGTGCCAGGCGTGTCCTGGAGCAAAGCCCATAATCCATCTGTGGGCAGAGATGTGGCTCACAGGACTCACAAAGCCATATAGCTGGCCATTGTGGTCTGCTGGAGAGGATGCCAACAAGGGCTTTGCCCAGGAAGATCAGCCTAGACGTCAGCAGGGACATTCAAAATGAAAGTGAAAAGGGCAAGTTGAGCTCTAAAGATCCCTGGGGATCAGACCTTTGGAGGATGGGTTGATAAGAATACAAGTCATGCTGGCAGTGGTGGCAAACACCTTTAATCCCAGCACTCAGCAGGCAGAAGGGAGGCGGAACTCTGCGAGTTCGAGGTCTACAGAGTGAGTTCCAGGACAGCCAGGGCTGTTAACACAAAGAAACCCTATCTTGAAAAACAGACAAAAAGAGTACAAGTCTGGGTGGCGGTGGTGGCGCATGCCTATAATCCCAACACTCAGGGAGGCAGAGACGGGTGGATCTTTGTGAATTCAAGGCTAGCCTGGTCTACAGAGTGAGTTCCAGGACAGCCAGAGCTACAGAGAAACGCTGTCTCGGAAAACCAAAAGAAAAGGTACAAAGGAGGGTGTTGAGGATGTAGTCAGAGACCAGATGTGAGACCCTGGATAGGGCCCCCAACTGATTCTGACCTCCCCTGCCTGGTGTGCAGTCCGACCTCTTCCAGGATGATCTGTACCCTGACACAGCTGGACCTGAGGCTGCTCTTGAGGCAGAGGATTGGGTGAGCGGGCAGGATGCTGATCCGATTCTGATCTCACTACGGGAAGCCTATGTGCCCAGTAAACAACGGGACCTGAAGGTCAGCCGGCGAAATGTGCTATCGGACAGTCGGCCTGCCAGTTCCAGCCGCCCTGGAGCCTCCACAGCTACCACAATTTCTGATGTTCCCAGTGGCACCCTTGCTGGGGCTGGTGTATGTGTCCTACATTTGGGGGTGCTGCCCAGTTGGTGGGCCCTTAGGCTCTACCATAGAGATGAGTTATGGCTAATGGCCTGACTTCTGTATGCCCTTGCAGGAATCTGGGAAACTACAAGAGGTAATGCAAGAGCTCCGGGCACTTCGGGTGCTGGTCAAGGAACAGGGGGACCGTATTAGCCGCCTGGAGGAACAGCTGGGCCGCATGGAGAATGGCGATACATAGGACCACCAGGGACCTGCTCCCAACACTGCCTCCTCCTCCTCCACCCCTTCTCACCTAGCTTCTGTGGCCAGGTCACACCAGGCAGTTTGCTGCTTAGTGCCTCTGGAGCAGGTCATGGCCAGTTTACACCTCTCCACAGCCTGGGGCCCAGGTTGGAAGCACCACCTGGCTTTTGGAAGGTTTTTGTACCAAGGCAAACTCCCAAGTTCTTTAAGGGACCATCTTCTCGACCTGCCCAGCCCACTCCCCCGTCCCCAGAGAAAGCAGCAGAGACAGTTCTATATTTTCATTCTAAATAAAATGCTCTTTCTAAAGCCATGTTTGACCTGCTGCTGTGGAAGGGGTAGGGTGGGGTGTAGTACTAGGAAGGGAAACTGCGAGCCTTATGTAGGAAGTAGCCCTGGGTACCTAAATTCCACCATGCAGAGAAACTCAGGTAGAAAGGCAGAGACAGGTGTGAGAGATGGGTTTGTGAATACAATCACTTGCTAAGCAAGCTTGACCCGAATTTGATCCCTGGAACCCACAGTAGAGAGAGGTATCTAACCTTCATATATACCCTCATGTGCAGTAATAGGCATGCAGTTGGCTTTTTGTTTGTTTTCCTGGCTGTCTTGGAACTCACTTTGTAGACCAAGGTGGCCAGGAACTCAAGATTCTTTTTTTTTTTTAAAGATTTTATTTATTTATTATGAATACAACATCCTGCCTCTACATATGTCTGCACGCCAGGAGAGGGCACCAGATCTCATTACGGATGGTTGTGAGCCACTATGTGGTTGCTGGGAATTGAACTCAGGACCTCTGGAAGAGTAGTCAGTGCTCTTAACCGCTGAGCCATCTCTCCAGCCCGGAACTCAAAATTCTTGATTCACCTGCCTCACCCCACCCCCACCCCGAGTGCTGGGATTAAAGATAGGTCCTATCACTGCCTAGCTTAGTTTTGGTTTTTCAAGACAAGGTTGGTCTGTGTAACAGCTGTGGTTGTCCTAGAATTCATTTTGTAAACCAGGCTGGCTCCAAACTCATCTGCCTCTTGTTTTGTTTTTTTAGTCTAGCCAGGTACACACCGTTAGTCCCAGCACTCAGAGGTAGAAACAGGAGGATATTCTTGAGTTCCAGGCCAGCCAGACCTACAATAGTACATAGCTGGATGTCTTGCTTTGAGCTAGATGCATACTTCCTCCCTTTGGAGTTTTGGTCAAAGATCATGTGGCCACAGCCTCACCTAGAGAGGCCTGGGAAGATTTGGTATGGGTCTGGGTGATTCTGAGAGGCTGAGACCCTATGAGGGTCCTGTGGTAGGCAAGAGTGGGTGGGGTGTTTCTAGCAGGAAACGGAAGTGTCAGTAACTAGCTACTATACTTGAGAGCTCCGGAGCTCACTTCTCACTAAACACAGCCAGAGTCAGAGGTCGGTTGGTGCCCGTGCAAAGGCCATCGGATCAATGGTGAGCTGTGGAGCCCTCTGGGTTCTTGGGGTACAGTGAGCTGGGGGCGGAATACTGAGGCTCCAGGAGCTAAAGAAGGGTCTCCTCACATGAGACTTGGGGTAGCAAGGCCCAGAACTATTACATGGGGTGGAACCTAGCCCTCACCCCAGAGCTGGGTTCTCTGGAGTTCAGGGCAGGTCTTGCAGTATCTCCTCAAAGTCTAGCTGTACTCCAAGATCCTTGGAGTGAGATCATCTGGTCCCTTCATGAACTGAGTTTGGGTGTAACTCCTTCCCTGGAGCCTGGTGTGCTAGGGGAGGCTTGTACATAACACCCCTCCCCCACCCCTGCTATGCCCCTCCACCTGCTTTGTTCCAACCGCAGGCTTCCTCTGATAGCTGCACATGCTGCCCCAAACTAAGCCATGGCCCTGCACGCCTGAGGCCCTCCGGGGCAGAATGGGGAGCTGAACGGAAACTCTGCAGCTGGGGCAGCCCCATGGTTGAGAGGAGGGGCTTCAAAGACCCCCACCCTAGGACCAATCAACCTCTGGGTTGGTCTAGATACCTCTATCATGGCCTCCAGAGAATCACCCGCCTCTTAGGCCCCTCCACTGCCCAGGCAGGCCATTCAGCTTATTCTGGTGGGGAAGAGCAGAATATAGATTTCTCCCCGCTCTGGTGTGGGATTTGGCGGGAAAAGTGTAATTAAGGGACCTGAGGTTGCTGAGTGGGTAGGCTAAAGTCACAGACCAGTTAGTTGTAGAGGTCTGGTAGGGCCTCATCAGCAAAGTCTAGGCCAGGACAAGCAGGTGGCCTTGACGCTCAGAGAACAGCATCTGAGCTGAGGGACAGCCAGTGCACAGGCCCTCAGCAGCAGCAAACCAGGGGCAAATTGCAGGGATGAGTTTAGGTAATCACACTAGGGCAAGGCCTTGACCAAATAAGGGCTGGGGATTTTCTGCTTTACGGTCCCTATTTAGCCTGAGGCAACTGAGGACTGTGTCACAGAGATCAGAGATGGTTGGTTTCACTCCTCCTCCCTACTGTCTCCCACAGGCTCTGCCTGGTATCCTCAGATTTAGGGTGCTGCTAGCCCTGCCAGGGGCCTTGGCCTCCGGGGTAGGCACAGAGGATGGTGCAGGCTCCAGCTCTGTCACCATCATCCTGCTGTTCCTGCTCCTGCTGCTGCTTGTCACTGCCCTGGCCTTGGCCTGGCGTCGCCTCAGCCGTGCCTCCGGGGGCTACTACCACCCAGCTCGCCTGGGTGCTGCCTTGTGGGGCCGCACCCGCCGCCTGTTCTGGACCAGCCCTGCAGGCCGCTGGCTCTGGGCCCGCACTGAGCTGGGATCCCCAGAGGAATCAGAGCGGCAAGAGGATGAACAGGAGGCAGAAGAGGGCTTCATGACGGATGGTGACCCTGAGGAAGCTGATCTGCAGCAAGAAGAGCAGCGGTGTGAAGCAGGAGCTCAGGCCAAGCAGGCCCCAGAAGCACAGGACACAGACAGTGAAGGGGGCCTGGGCCTCAGCTCTCAAGGTCCTGTGGGCTCAGGCAGTAGCGCCGAGGCACTTCTGAGTGACCTGCATGCCTTTTCAGGCAGCGCAGCCTGGGATGACAGTGCTGGAAAAGCAGGGGGCCAGGGCCTCCATGTCACCGCGCTGTAGGAGCCAGCTTGTGCTGTCCATGCCCCAGCCTCTGACTCTCTCTTTCCATGAACACAACTGCCCTGGACTTTCGCCACCCCCTTCCCTTGCAGCTTCCCAGACTGCCATCCCGATCAGTTTCCCAGAGTGTGCCCCCACCACCACAGGCACCGGGCAGACATTGAAAATAAAACTTCTTAAGTCTTGAGGTCTGTAGTCCTTTAGCTTACATACATTCCCTTCTCTTCCCTTCCTGGAGTCCAGCAAAAGTCACTATGTCATGATTCAGTCCTTTAATTCTATAAGGGCACTAGTGAGGTTCCTTCTGATAGAATGGGCATTGGTAACCGTCCTCACTGGCTGCAAGCTGCAGCCCTCCATGTACATGATTTTTGGGCCCAACCACTCCCCCCAAGACACTCTCATCTCCCAAATATACCCAGGTTGGAGGCAGCCAGGTTCTCACAGCTGCCAGGGCGCAGGCCTCAGTGCTGAGCCTCTTCCTCTATTCTCTTAGCGTCCTGGGCGCCCTCGGCTCTTCTTGGATTTCTTGGTCCCTGAGGGGGGACGGATGGGAAGAGGGGCAGTGCTTGTGGGTGGTGGTGACGATGGTGGTGGCAGGAGTGGAGGTAGAGATGGCTCCATGGGCTCTGGTGGGCCAGGGATGGGCCGGAACCCCTCAAAAGGAGAGAACTTGAGGGGGCTGCAGGAGAGACCAAGGCAGAGTCAGAGCTTCCTAAGCTTAGCCAGGAATACTGGCATAGGTCCACAAACTGCCACTTTAGAAGCCCCTGTGACAGATTTACAGGGACTGGGGTCCCACAGTAGGCAGAAGCTTGAGGCTAGCCCTAAAGAGGAGCTTGGCCAAAGTAGCCCAAAAGTACTGGTCTGTGCTCCAGAGCCCCACCCCAGCCACATGCCTGCCCTGCTCCTGAGTACCTGATGGGGGTGCGGGGACTGCTGTTAAGGCGCCTGGGGGAACGCAGCTTGGGCTGGAAGGAGAAGCCCTCCTTACTGCTGTCCAGGACAGAAGGTGCCACATATGTGAAGCCCTGTGGGGAAAGGCCAGGACGGGATGCTTGGCATTTCCAGTCCCTGGTTAGAATCCCTGCTTTGGTCCCCATAAACCCCAGGCCCTCACCAGGAAGGCTTGGTTGGCACTCTCACTGAGGTCTGTGTCGTCTGGACTATCTACTGGCGTCTGCTGTGTGAAGTGTGTATCAAACTGGCTCACGTCCTCTTCTGATTGCTGTGGGAAGATCCATGTGGGGGATTTAAGAGGGTCCAACGTGCAGGGCTTCCATCTGCCATGGGGCCAAAAGGACCTCTAGATACTCACCAGGCTTGGCCTGATGGGAGGGTCCACACGGCAGGCCAAGAGGTCATCCCAATTGATGTGCCGGAAGAAGGGGTGCCTCTGAGGGTGGAGGGCACCCAGGAACATGTCGGTGATTCACCTTGCCTGATTCCCTGCTGTAGTCCACTTCACCCTCTGGCCCCAACCCCTTATGATAATCCCAGACTCACCTGCACCTCAGCAGCATCTCCTGGGCCACCCCCAATTCGTTGAGTGGGATTCCGCTTCAGAAACTGCAGAAGCAGAGAAGAGGTGAGGGTAGGGAGCAACTAATGGCGCGTGCCCAGCCTCCAGGATGGGGAGAAGGCAGTCAGGAACAAGGTATAGTACAGGCTCTGGAACCTGTGGTATAGGTTCTGCCCACTGAACCCCTCAGTACTTTCAGAGCTCAGTTGGGTTGAGTGTGCTCTTCATGAAGCCTTGGCTCTGAGGAGATGGCTTCTGCTCACAGATCTATGTGGCACTCCCATTCCCTTAACAGGCTAGTGATGGCCTTTCTGATGGAACAGGGTGAGTTCATAAGAACACCCCACTGATGAAGACACAGATCCAGGACTGCTCAGGGGCAGTGGTCAGGTTTTCAGAGCTCAGGCCTGAACTCAGGGACTTGAACCCCAAAGCCAGTGTTCCTATCATTCCCAAAGGCAAACTGCACAGGATGGGGCCAGGTCTTCCCCAGAGCTTAGAGACAGTCAAGCATATATACAGAATTGCTGATAGGACTTAGGGGAAGAGATGGAAACCTGTCCCTGGACTGGGGGGAGCCCCACCTTTTTGGCAAGGTCCTGGGCATCCGGGGTGAGGTAGCGGGGCAGCACCAGCTTCCCTCTCATGATTTTATCCATAATTTTCTTTCGGTTTTCTGCGGTGAAGGGCGGCTGGAGGAGGCAGAAGGTGAGAGCAGCCTAGGGGGTCTTCCCACCCAGTCCTGCCCCAGTCTGGAAGGGAGGATCTCCCCAACACCCATCCTCCTCCCAAGGAGCTAGACTTGCCGATCCAGTGAGCATGTCGTACATCAGAACCCCCAGGCTCCACCAGTCCACTGCCCGGTTGTAGCCACTGCGCACTAAAATCTCTGGGGCCCTGGAGGAGATGAACTGTCAGTAAGGGCGAGGCCTCTCCAGTTATTCTCAGACCCTGGGCCAGCCAGGTGTTACTTACATGTACTCAATGGTACCACAGAAGGTATGGGTGACAGCACCCTCATGGATGGACTCTTTGCAGAGTCCAAAGTCTGTCAGTTTGATGTGGCCTGAGGAAGACGGTTAAAAGGGACGAAATATGACCCAGGCCTACTTGTGGGTTCCCCAGCCCTGCCCTGCAGACCCAAGACAGGGGATGTGTGCATATGCATGCGTGCAATATACTCACCCTGGCTGTTGAGCATGACGTTCTCAGGCTTGAGATCCCGGTAGATGATGCCTTGGGAATGGAGATGGCCCAGGGCCAGTGTGATCTCAGCCAGGTAGAAACTGCAGAGACAGGACAAGGTAAAGAAAGGCAGGGAAAAGGCAGGGGTGAAGGCAAGCAAGGACGAGCACCCCCAGAGACCCACCAGGCTGTGTCTTCCAAGAAGATGCCTTCGCGCTCAAGATGTGTGAAGAGCTCGCCACCTGTGACACAAGCACAGTAACAGCTGTGAACTCAGGCCCAGTCCCATTGCTGTCTGAGTGTCATTTTTTTCTAGAGAAAAATGGGACTTGTAGATCCCACCCTACCTGCCTCCCAGAGCTGCCGTGGGAACTCAATTCAATCAGCAAACATCTACCGTCGCCTAGTCACTCGGTGCCTGGCCCTGTGCTGGGTGAAGCTGGGGCAGAGTTGAGGAGACCCAGCCATGCCCTCAGGATGCTCAGTCTAGTGGGGAGACAGACATGTGCACACTGCTCTAGGATGCCAGGTGAAAGGAACAGCTCTGACAACTTCACCACAGAGCCTCATGGTGGAGGGCATAAGAAGCCAATCTCAACACAATGATGGAAAAGGGCAGTGAAGGTGTGGCTTTTAGGGTACTGGTGTAGGGAAGAGGATGCAGGTGGAAGCTTGTAGGGTTCAGCTGGTATGGGAAGCAAATAGAAAGAGCAGGCCTCAGTCACCCTTGGTAAGCAACGGTGTGACCAAGGCTTTGTTTGGGTAGTCAGAGACGAATGCTCTAGGAAGATGACCTTTTCAATTAGTGGAGGATATACAAGAACCCAGGTGAGCCGGGCATTGGTGGTGCACGCCTTTAATCCCAGCACTCGGGAGACAGAGGCAGGCAGATCTCTGAGTTCGAGGCCAGCCTGGTCTACAGAGCGAGTTCCAGGACAGCCTCCAAAACAATACAGAGAAACCCTGTCTTGAAAAAAAAAAAAAGAACCCAGGTGAGCTAGACCCTCAAAACTAGTTTAGAAACAGACCTGCCAGGAATGCTGGCACACACCTTTAATCCCAGGCAAGGACAGGGAGTATCTCTGAGTTCTATGTGGTAAATTCCAGGCCAGCCAATGCTATGTATGAACACACCCTGTCTCAAAAAGACAAAACAAGTAGGTGTAGTGGCACATGCCTTTAACCCCAGCACTCAGCACACAGAGAAGGACATATCTCCTGAGTTTGAGGATCTGAATTCAAGGTGGACTTCCTGAGTTCAGGGCCAGCATGGTATACATAGCGAGTTCCAGGCAGGCCAGGGCTACATATAAGCAGACTTTGTCTCAAACAACAACAACAACAACAACAAAAAAGGACTTTATAGAAACAGTAACTATCCATGAGACTTCCAAGATGAAGAATGATGCAGCTAGGTGGGGCCTGACTGATTGTCTGGCACACAGGGGAAAGGTAGCAAAACTGGATGAAATTCCCTCTGGATATCTATACAAACTCCCACCATTCCCACATACCCCACAAACACTAGGCACTGGATGGATGTTTGCTGAATGAACAAATGAAGGGACAGACAGATGGAAACATGGCCGGGCATGGTATGTGAGCCTCCTAGCCATCCTCCACAACCATATCTCTCAGGATTCCCTAAATCCCCAGTGTTCCCCATGCTGGCCCCCTGCCATCCACTACTCAGCCTAGCCCAGACACCTACCACTGAGGCACTCCAGGATGAGGTAGAGTTTGCCACCTGTCTGGAAAGCATAGGCCAATTCCACAATGAAGGGATGCTTCACAGATTCTAGAATGTTCCGCTCAGCCTGGGTATGTGCTGTGTCCTTGGCATTGCGTACAATCTTGGCCTAGAGATGGAGGGGTGGGTTAGAAAGTAATGGACCCAGAGTGCTTCCCTTTTCGTTGTTGTTCTATTGTTTTGTAGAATGCCCAACCCTCAATATGAAACCATGCAAAAGAGGAGCTAGTGTTCTAGTAAGTACAAGGGAAGTCATGACTCTTGTTTCAAAATATATTGAAACACAACTTGATCATAAAACAAGAAAGTATGCCAGGTGTTGGAGGCGCACACCCTTAATCCCAGAGCTTGGGAGGCAGAGGCAGACGGATCTCTGTGAGTTAGGAGGCCAGTCTCAAGAAATCCTGTCTCCGAAAAAGAAGAAAAAAAAAAAGGATAGAATAGGCCATGTTATGCTCGCCTCCCACACACAATAAGATGATTAGAATTTGTGAAAGATCATTAGTCAGTCACAGTTAAATACTGTCCCCCGGGCTGGAGGGATGGCTCCGAGGTAAAGAGCACTGGGTGCTCTTCCAGAGGTCCTGAGTTTGATTCCCAGCAACCACATGGTGGCTACAACCATCTGTAATGAGGTCTGGTGCCCTCTTCTGACCTGCAGGAATACATGCAGGCAGAACACTGTGTACATAATAAATCTTAAAAAATAAATAAGCACTGCCCCCTACACACCACACCTGCCTTTTTCTTGCTTCTTAGCCATGACCGCCCTGCGGTCTTTTGCCACTTGTACTTTTTTTTTTTTTTTTGGTTTTACGAGACAGGGTTTCTCTGTATTGTTTTGGAGGCTGTCGGTCCAGCCTGGCCTCGAACTCACAGAGATCCGCCTGCCTCTGCCTCCCGAGTGCTGGGGTTAAAGGCGTGTGCCACCACCGCCCGGTGTCTTTTGCCACTTGAATCTCTCTGTAACTCTGCTGCTGTGAGCAGTAAACCTTTCCAGGAACTGGTTTATCCTCTCAGTTTTCCAGTTTCTCAACCTTGACACTTTGTTGTTCGAGAAAAGGTATCATTATGTAGCCCAGGCTGTCCTCCTGCTTCACCCCTTCAAGTTCTGAGACTACCAAATTCAGCTACATTTGACACTACTGACACACTGGGCCAGGCAATCCTTTGTTGTGGGTTTCTGTTTATCTGCACCTCTGCAGTCTGTTCACTGAGTGTCAACAGCACCCCCCTCACTAATCCTGACAATAGAAACTTGCCAATGTGCCCTAGCAGGCAAGTTGCTCCCATTTAAGAATTACTGTAAACTGGGCGGTGGTGGTCCAAGCCTTTAATCCCAGCACTCAGGAAGCAGAGGCAGGTGGATGTCTGTGAGTTCAAGGCCAGGCTGGTCTACAGAGTGATTTCCAGGACAGGCTTCAAAGATATAGAGAAACCCTATCTCAAAATACCAAAAAAAAAAATTACTGCAAAACGGTATATATGACAATAGATACTAAGCCAGCAAGTGCCAAGGTTGGAACTGTCTCCATCATGCTGACAGCCCTCTTTCCAAAGCCTGGCACAGGTCCCAGAAGATGGCAGCTACTCAGTATTTGCTGGCTGAGCAAATGACTCACCTTTCTCAAGACTTTCATTGCATATATTTTGCCCAGGTTGCTGCCCTGCACTTTTCTCACCTGGAACACCTGTATGGTAGGGGAGACAGGATTATCTCATTCATCCTATTCCAAGGAGCCCCACCCTAAAGTTCTAGTCCCAAAAGACCTAAACTCAGCTCAGGGCGGGACAGTAATGATCTCTATCAGATTGAGAGGATCTGCCCTCCCCTCCCTTCGGGTTTCCAGGTCTGAATTCCATCAGAGGCTCCACGCTGGGTGTGAGGGGTGGTATGCTGCCTCTGGCTAGAGCTGAGGTCACCATGAGGGGAACGGTTGCTAGTACCTTGCCATAGGCCCCCTTGCCCAGCACACTCAGAAGCTTAAAGCAGTGGGGCCCGATGCGCTCAGGGCCCAGGTTCACGCTGCTCTCTGTCAGCTCCACCTCCTCATAGTGTCCCACCGTCCTAAAAACACAGTAAGTTAATGAGGGCAAAGCTCTAGTGTACCAAGCACCATCCCCTGCTCCGTGCCCGCATCCCCCAGAAAGACCGTCACTTACTCCAGGCCAGCAGCCCTCAACTCGCCAAGGGGACACACCTCCTGTGAGAAACCGAGAGGTTAAGAACCACGGGAGGTGCCAGAATATCTGCTCCCAACCCATACTGAACTGTTTGGTCCAGGAGATAGGACCAAGGATAGGAGACAGCAGGGATGGAGAAAGGTTGGGGAAGATCAGGGGCTGGATCTGGGAATGACAGGGGTTTGCAGGAGTCAGAGCACACTCAAGAGTAGGGAGTGCCGTGACTTTAGTTACCCGGGTGGGCTCCCGGGTCCAATCGCGCCCGGCGGGAAACACTCACCGTAGGGCCGAATTCCGACTCGCCCTCGCTGCCTTCCTCGGTTTCCAAGTCTAGATCAAACACGGCCGCCATGGCTCCGCCGGCCCCGCGGGCCCCTGGCCCGGACCAGGCGGAGCTCTGACTGACAGTCCCGGCTTGGGACTTGCGTTATCTCTCTGCGACAGCAACCGCAAAAGTACTGCTGACGCAAAATTAGCTTCGCCCACTGCCTGGCGGTGAGGAAAGATGGAGGCTGTTGCAAAGCCTCTCGGGAGTTGTAGTTCTACAGATCTGGACCACCCATTTTGCAGCCTTCTGAATAAGCTTTACTAATTCGGCTCTCCCGGGTCCGCACCCGGCACGAGCAACGCAGAGCCTCCCAGTTTGGCTCTGGGCAGAGTTCGAGATTGAATGGGCAGAATCACAGGTGCTTGGAGGTTTGAGTTTAAATGGCAAAGCCTCAGCTCTTCTTACTTCCGGCAAGTCGTGTTAGGAAACCAGTAGATTGTATTAGAGACACTCCCCATAATCTCCCTGAAGCTCACATACCCTACAGGTCTGACATTTGCTGGGTGACTGCCTGGGCTTTGTTACTAGGCTCCTATTCTGAAGGATTCAGCACATCTAAATATGGACTTTTTTTTTTTTTTTTTTTTTTTTTGGTTTTTCAAAACAGGGTTTCTCTGTGGCTTTGGAGACTGTCCTGGAACTAGCTCTGTAGACCAGGCTGGTCTCGAACTCACAGAGATCCGCCTGCCTCTGCCTCCTGAGTGCTGGGATTAAAGGCGTGCCCAGCCCTAAATATGGACTTGTACGAACTTAAGCGTGTTAAGTATTCCTGCTGTGCCGGGCGGTGGTGGCACACGCCTTTAATCCCAGCACTCAGGAGGCAGAGGCAGGCGGATCTCTGTGAGTTCCAGGCCAGGCTGGACCGACAGCTTCCAAAACAATACAGAGAAACCCTGTCTCGAAAAAAACAAACAAAGTATTCCTGCTGCTTGGTTCAGAATAGGTACTTTAATAGAATGTGTTTGAAAGGCCGACAGTGCTGGTCTTTAATCCCAGCACTGAGTTTGAAGCCAGCCTGGTCTACAGAGTGAGTCCCAGGACAGCCAGGGCTACACAGTGAAACCCTGACTCAAAAAACCAAAACAAGCCAGGTGGTGGTGGCAGCACACACTTGTAATACCAGCACTGAGGAGGCAGAGGCAGGTGGATCTCAGTGAGTTCAAAGCCAACCTGGTCTACAGAGTGAGTTCCAGGACAGCCAGACCTATTACACAGAGAAAACTTGTCTTGGGGATGGGGGGTGGTGAGGGTGGACACAGACACTGCAGACGACTACATGGTTGAAAAGATAGGAGAGCCGGGCGGTGGTGGTGCACGCCTTTAATCCCAGCACTTAGGAGGCAGAGGCAGGTGGATCTCTGTGAGTTCCAGGACAGCTTCCAAAGACACAGAGAAACCCTGTCTCGAAAAACCAAAAACAAAACGAAAAGATAGGAGAGCTGTCTAGATGGTTGGGGTTGGGGGACATAAAAATCACTTGCCGGGACTGGAGAGATGGCTCAGAGGTTAAGAGCACTCGTTGCTCTTCTAGAGGTCCTGAGATCGATTCCCAGCAACCACATGGTGGCTCATAACCATCTGTAAGGAGATCTGGTGCCCTCTTCTGGCCTGCAGGAATATATGCAGGTAGAACACTGTATACATTAAAAAAAAAAAAATCACTTGCCACACAAGCTTGACTACTTGGGTTCTATTTCAGGCCAAGCCTGTGGTTTTGGATTGGAGTCTGGATGGGCCTTCCCATGGCACAGGGGAGGTCCATTGTGGTACAGGGTGTTAACTCAGATGAACAGAACTCAGGAGTGTCCAGCCAACAGAGGCTTTACTGTCTGGATGTGACACAGGGTTGTAGTTCAAGCAAAAGAGGTTGTTGAATTTAGGCCTAGATGTAGGTATAAGGTAGGCCTCTGCCAAAGGTCAGTCCAGGGGCCCAGCCAATAGGGCATTTTTTCCCCACCTCTCCCTCCCATTTCCCAGATGTACAACTATTGAACCTGGGCGGGGCATTACCCAAACAAATCTATCCCAGAAAACTTAACTAGTTTACATGCCTTTATTTGGGCAGGCATGACTGGGGAGCTGTCCACAGCTCCTGTGCTGGGCAAAGGCAGGCATTTTCAGAGTAGCTTCCCAGAATGAAGAAGAGGGTGTAGACAGAAGTCCTGGGGCCAGGCGAGTTATGTATGCCAGAGGCCGAAGCAATGAAGCTAGTAGAGAACATGTGACTAGGACATTGGGGAGAGGTGTTGAGGTCTGAGTGCTGCTAGTGACTGAGGGTAAAGACGACCTGGAAGCTGAGTGAGCATGTAAAACAGTGAGCAGAAAAGACTGGCCTTTGCATCCTGTCTGCATCCACTGATATAGGACCTTGGAGGTGGCCATTTTTCTTCTGAGTCTACTTCCTTATCTGCGACCTGGGGACACTAGTGTCTGCCTGGAGGTGTGAAGGAAGATGATTATTCCCACTGCTCATCAAAGACCTCTGCTTTCACTGCTCAGGCCAATGGACACAGTGAAGCACTGCTAGGTATTTTCAGCAGGCTTTACAACTATCCTGGCCTTTGCATAAAGACAGGAGCACTAACCTCAGTTTTCATGGGCTTTGTCCAAGGCCAGGGGTCCATGTAGTTCCCTCTTCCTATAGGTGACATGAAGAGACAGACCTGAAGAGGTGCAGGGAGAGCCTGGATTTGGACCTGCTCTCATCTGGGTCGGGCATGGTAGTGTGGGGAAGAGGCTGCTGGTTGATGGTTCTTTAAAGGCTAAAATGTCCCTGGCTTCTTCTTTCAGGCCACCAACCAGTTCCTAAATCATGACACAGAGACTTCTTATTAGCTATGAGTGCTCTGCCATGGATTAGGCTTGTTTATTGCTAGCTCTTATAACTTAACCTGATTCTCTTCATCTACATTTTTGCCTTGGGCTTTTTACCTTTCTCTCTCTCTCTTTCTTTATTTCTCTTTCTTCCTTTCCTATCTTGCACTGCTTTTCTTGTCCAACTGGTGGCTGCCTGGTTTCTGGCCCAGGTCTGTCCCTCTCTCTTTCTCCTTCATTCTCTCCTCCCTCTTCTCTGTAGCCTAGATCTCTCCTCCTACTTATTATTCTCTCTGCCCACCAGCCCTGCCTATCCCTCTCTCGCCTAGCTATTGCCTATTTAAATTTTTATTAGGCCAATCAGTTGCCTTAGGCAGGCAAGGTGAAACATATGCAACACATGCATCTTTACATTATTAAACAAATGCAACACAAACAAATGTAACACATTTTATATCTTTACATCATTAACATAGGCAAGAGACAAATATAACACACCTTCACATAGTTAAAAGTAATATTCTGGCCGGGTGTTGGTGGCGCACGCCTTTAATCCCAGCACTCGGGAGGCAGAGGCAGGTGGATCTCTATGAGTTCGAGGTCAGCCTGGTCTACAGCGTGAGTTCCAGGACAGCCTCCAAAACAATACAGAGAAACTCTGTCTCGAAAAACCAAAAAAAAAAAAGTAATATTCTGCAGCATAAACAAATGTAACACATCTTTGCCTAGTTACAATAATATTCCAAAACACTAGAGTCCTGGGGATACCTGGGACTAGATGGAGGCTTTGGGACAGCAAAAGGACCCAGAAACTTTCAGATTCTTATTTTATGGTCCTTGAGTGTGGAAGACTATGTCAAAATAGTTCTACTGCTCTGGAATAGACCTGAGACAGAGGAGTGTCTAGTTCAAGGTTTTGGGCAAAGTGATAGAAAGAGGGGCAGGGAGCCGGGCGTTGGTGGTGCACGCCTTTAATCCCAGCACTCGGGAGGCAGAGGCAGGCAGATCTCTGAGTTCGAGGTCAGTCTGGTCTACAAGAGCGAGTTCCAGGACAGCCTCCAAAGCCACAGAGAAACCCTGTCTCGAAAAAAAAAAGGGGGGGCAGGGAAACAAAGTATTACAGGCCCTCCCCCTCACACATCACCCCTGCTATTTGAAATGAGAGAGAAAATGGACAACTGGGTAGCTGGGCCTGTCAATGCCCAAGCCCTGACAGATGCCCAGCAGGCGGAGACGGGCCTCAGCAGGGCTGGGCCCAGCACAGGCCACATTGCAGTAAGGCTCCTCATACTGGCCAGGTATCAGGGCCTCCTCCAGCAGGTTGAGTCGCAATAAACCCTTGTCATGGAGGGCTTGCATGGTCTCTCGACTGCCAGGGGAACTCAGCAGCTCTATGTGCTGGGACACCAGGCACATGATGCCCACCAGGTAGCCACGGGCACGAGGATGGGCAGGCACGGCGGGCTGCAGGCCACAGGCCACCATGGTAGAAGCCAGCAGCAAATCCACACCATAGAGCTCCTGGATCCAGTCCCGAAGGTAGAACCCTCCCATCCGAGGGTTGATCTCGATGAGCTTTGGCCCAGCCCCCGTCATCTTGAGCTCCACATTGAAAACTCCATCTAGCAGCCCGCAGCCCAGGCAGCAGCGAAAAGCCGCCTGCACCATCTGGGCCTCCTGCTCTGGTGCTAGCCCAGTGGGCATGCAGGCTGCAGTCTCTGTGAAGCCAGGCAGCCTAGTAGGGCCATTATCAGAGACAAAAGCAGCCAGCAACCGTCCACCAAACACTACCAGGTCCACATCATGTTCTGTGCCCTCAATAAATTCCATCAGCAGCATGGCATTTCCCCAGCCCAGTCCAATGCCTGGGTGATCAGCTTCACCCTGCAAGTCATGGAGGATCCGGGAAAAGTGCTCGTGGCACTGTGGCCCATCCTTCACCAGCTGCACACCCACTGCGCCTGACCCAAATTCCAGTTTCATCACACCTGGCAGGGGTACCTGGTGGATGGCTCTCTCCACATCAGCCTCGCTCTCCAGTGGGCAGCAGGCCACAGCATGGAGGGAAGTTGCAGGCCAGGGTGGGCCCTGGCATCGCAACAGGTGTCGTTGGGTACGGCTCTTCTGCTTTGCAAGGCACGTGGCAGCTGGGGGGCTGCAGGGCAGACCCAGCTCACGGCAGAGCAGAGAAGTGAGCACCAAGCAGTCATCCCAGAAGGAGAAGCAACCGTCTAGCTTCAGGTTGCGCGTCCGTACCAGCTCAGCCAGCAGCTGTGCGTTCTCCTCATCCCTCCGGTGCTCAGTCACGTCGAAGTGGATGAAGGTCTGCACCAGCTGGGATGCAAAGTGGTTGGGGTCTGACTCCACCAGGTGCAGCTGCAGCAACATATGCAACCCTGTCAGCAGGTGTTGTCATGGAAGAGACAGAATGGTGTCCCACGGGGGAGACTGGATCATAAAGACCAGGCGCTCAATCTATGTTTACTGATGACTTGTTGAATAAATGGGAAGTGAAGAGGTGAGACACCTCCTTCAGCCTGGAGGGGAGGGAAGTCAGAAGGAAACGCTTCAGGAGGAAAGGGCAGGCTGAGGGTGAGGGGCCGGGTGCAAGGAGGAAACACCAGAGGGCTCACTAGGACATGCTCACAGCTTTCCTGCAGGGTTTGGAGACCTGCCATCGGGGTTTGGGCTAGAGACAGGTGGCTCGGTTATCATTCCTTCCACATGTTCTAACTGTAATGTGATGTGCTTGACTCCTGAGAAGCCCTGTCTCCCCAAAGCTCGCGGCTTGCTGGGGGAAACACAAACACAAGGCAGCTGGTACTCAGGGCAGAAGTAGCTACTTGATTAGGGGGAGGGAGTGGCTGTCTGGAAGGTAACTTGGCACCAGGAGTCTTTCAGTACTTAAACTGGCATACACACTATCAGGTAGGAACTGTGATACCAAAGCTGCTGGGAATTCCTCAAGGACCATGCATGGTGGGGGAAAAAGGCGAGGAGGCCAATGTGGTGGATTAGGGCCAGCCTGAGAGACTAAGCTTTCCTATCTGTTTCAATAGGAGTGAGAATGTCTGTCGCCTGGCTAGCTCCAGACCCACAATGTGAGTCCCCGCCTCCTTCCAACAGTTGACTTGAGATTATGAACTTCTCTTCCGCCCACCGAAGGACCCTATGTGCCAAGTTGCAGGAATTCAGCTCCAAAGAACTTTTCCCAAGGCAGACCTAGACTTCTTACCCAGCATTCCAGACCTAGGAACTACAATGTTTGGCAGTACATGTTTGTAATTTCGGCATTTAGGAGGATGAAGTAGGAGGATTGTGTTGCAAGAGCCAAGTCTAGGCTACATGGTAAAACCCTGTCTCAAAAAAACCAAAAAGTTTATGGAGGGTCAGCTCAAGAGAGTAATCCCCTGGCTGGGCGGTGGTGGCGCACATATTTAATCCCAGCACTTGGGAGGCAGAGGCAGGTGGATCTCTGTGAGTTCAAGACCAGCCTGGTCTACAAGCGCTAGTTCCAGGACAGCCTCCAAAGCTACACAGAGAAACCCTGTCTGAAAAACCGAGAGAGAGAGAGAGAGAGAGAGAGAGAGAGAGAGAGAGAGAGAGAGAGACCCCCAGCACTTGGAAGACACAGGCAGGAGAACCTCAGAAAGTTAAAGGTCAGCCTGAGTTTCCTATTTAGTTTCAGGCCAGTCTGAGCCACAGAGTAAGACCCTGCCTGAAATAAATAAATAACCACTGAAACAAACAAACATATAAAAATAAAATAACATGTCTGAAATTCTAGAATCTGGAGGTGGAAGTAGGAGGATCAATTCAAAGCCAGCTTCGGCTATATAAGGAGTTGGAGGCCATCAAGAGTTATGTGAGAACCTGTCCCAAAGATCCCAAAATATTGAGGGCTGGAGAGATGGCTCAGCCATTTAGAGCACTTGCTACTCTTGCAGAGGACCAGAGTTCAGTGTCTAGCATCCATATCAGGTGGTTCTGGATCGACGACACCTTTTTCTGGACTCCGCTGACACCTGCACACACTTGTGCATATACATACATCATCCCCACACGCATACAACATAAATTTTTTTTTGTTTTTACGAGACAGGGTTTCTCTGTATTGTTTTGGAGGCTATCGGTCCAGCCCGGCCTTGAACTCACAGAGATCTGCCTGCCTCTGCCTCCCAAGAGCTGGGATTAAAGGCATGCGCCACCACTGCCCGACTCATACAACATAAATTTTAAAAAGTAAAATGAATCAGGGCTGGAACGATGGTTCAGTAGTGAAGAGCACTGACTGCTCTCCCATAGGACCAGATTTGATACTCAGCACCCACATGGCAGCTAATAACTGCCTGTAACTCCAGTTCTAAGGGATCGATGCCCTTTTCTGGCCTCTGTGGGCACCCAGCATCACTTGGTGCAGATATACATGCAGGCATATGCACACACATAAAATGAAAACTGGGGCTCTAGCTCAGTGATATAGTGCTTGCTTGCATAGAATATGTAAGACCCTAAACTCTATCCCTAAAACAGCAAGGAAAAACAAAAATAAAACAAACAAGCAAAAAAAAAAAAAAAGCTGAGTTTGGTGCATGCTTTAATCCCAGCAAAATAGGGTGGAAGAGGCAGGAGGATCTCTGAGAGATTTACATAGCCAATTCCAGTCAACAAGGGCTAGCTATACAGTGAGACCCTTTCTCAAAATTAAAGAAAACAGGGACCTGAGCTCCGCTGCTGACCTGGAGTACAGCCTGCCTCCAGCCCATCTGTCCCACCTCCTCTTTTCCTCCTTTGCCCTCTCAGAGGGGCCTGTCACAGCAGCCGGCCTCGCCCCCGCGACGAGGCCCGGCCCCCGGAGTGACAGCCTCAGCCTGAAGGACTAGCCCCTCCCATTCAGACCCGCCCCCATCTCCACCAATCACACCGTGGCTTGGGGCCGTGCCCCGCCCACCTTCAGTCCGTAGTCTCGCGCCGCCTCCCACACGAACTTCTTGCTGACACCGCCCGCGCCGATCACCAGCAACTGCTTTCCCTCCATGAGGTGGCGCCCCGAGCGCCGCAGCATGGTCTCTACCAGCGGTGCTGCCGCCGCCTCCTCAACAGAGCGTCCCAGGCGCGGCGCGGCCCACATCCCCTCGAGCGCGCCGCACGCCTCCAGGCACAGGCCACTGTTCAGCTTAAGGACCGCGGGGGTCAGCGTGCGGCCGGTCACTGTGAGAACCAAGTCCACGCCTGGGCCGGGCGAGGATGCGCGGGCTGAGCATCCTCCAACCCGGTCCCCACGCCGCCCAGACCGAGCCGCGCCTCCAGTGCTCACCGAGGAAGTCGACGTGCACTTGGCGCCCACCACGCTGCTCAACACTCAATCCGGCCTCCAGGGCCAGCACTGCGGTCAGCGCGGCTTCCGCTGCTTCTTTGATGCGCTGCTCCAGTAGCGCCACTTGCGCCGCCTCTTCCAGGCCGCACTGGGCCAGCGCCACCCCCAGTGTCCTCGGCAGGGTGTTGTGGTGCCGTAAGAGCCGGTCCCCACGGCCAACGCCACACACCACCTGAGCACAGTGCAGCTCAGAAAGGGGCTGGTCCAGGAGGAGCCCTGACAAGGCTCACCTTTCTAAGTACCCCTTCGACGCCTGAGCATCTTTCCTGCACCAAGAAACAGGCCCCACCTTCCCTGCACGTCAAGAACCCCCTTCTTCCAACAAGACTTAAACTGTACAAATCACTCTTGGCTTCACGCACCGTGTGTTCCCCAGATCCCTCGGGGTTATGCCGGCTTCCAAGCCCGGCTCAAAGATTCCAAGCATGCTTGCTCCTACCTGCTATAGCCAACCCTGGTTTTTCCTAGCCTTAGGCTGTCTCTTGAAGACACTCATCAGCTACCCTGGAGTTCTGCTGAGTCCCCAGGAGGTCCCCCAAGCCTTCCTGGGTTCCCCAGCCTGGAGCCCTTCCTCTGGGACTGACCCTAAATTAGTTTCTTCTGTGAGGAGGATCATGCTGGAAAAGGAAGCAGGTCCCTAGGTCCTGAAGGGGGGGGGGGGGGGGGCACAAGGACCCAGGCTCTTGATATAGAAGGCTACACAAGCGTTGAAGAGGAGGAAGTGTCCACACAGGAGTCCCCTCAGAAATAACCAGAATCCCCCCCTCCCCAAAGGTCAGACCCTGTGGGTGGGCAGAGCTGGGTGGACGGGGCCATGTCCTGAGCCATTCTCACCTTGCTCAGTAGGGGCCTGTCACCCTGAATCCGACACACCACTGCACAGACACGCACAGCCAACTCAGGGCCAGGTGCAGGACTGCCTGGGGGAACATGGAGAAGTTGAAGCCCAGAAGTCTAGGAGGCCAATCTTTGCTCCCAGTTCTTGACTAGCACAGGTTAGGTAGCACAGGTTAGAACCTGGTAAGGGCAGCCGGGCAGGTGGACACATGGCTTCCACAAGGACACTCTCCTCCTCCTCCAGCTTCTCCAGCAATGTTAGCACTGTGTTCACCACTGCGGATGGTTCCAGCCGCAGGTGCAGACGCAATGCTTGCTGTCCCCGCCAGCGCCAGCCACTGAGCCTTACAGCTACCTACAGCAGAAAAGGGAAAGAACCCTCCTTAGCACCATCTCTTATGCCTGAAGTGTAGGATGCTCATGCCACAGATGCCAGTAAGTAGGAGGTAGGGAGGGCACAGAGCACTGCTATGGAGAAATGGGACCGTGGCAGAGCTAAGCGTTGGGACCGTTCCCAGCAGGACGTAGTAATTACAACATGGGTTCCCTCCTTTGGATACCCACAACGACCTCAGCGCAGAGAGGGGCCTGTTGTTACCTGTGATGCATCACCCAAGGCCTCGGAGTGCACAAAGGCCTCTACTTCCTCTTTCACCAGTGTTTCCTGGCCCTCCTTCCCACTCAGCTCCACCAGCCGTAGTCCAGGGCTGGCCTCCCCTCCCCGAAGCAGCCCTGGAGGCCTATAAGTGAAAGCCAGGGTAGCTGGCACAGCCACATCACGCTGTTGGGACAGGCACCACCTCATCAGCAGCCGGTCCTCCAGCAGTCGTGCCAGCTCTGCGGAGGCTCCCGTGGGGCAAGTGAGGTTCCGAGCCAGCTCTGCGGCCTGCCTGCCATGGCCAGATCCTGGCCCCAGGCCTGCCAGGAAGTAGGTGGCATGCCGAGGGGGAACAAAATCATCCAGGAATGTCAGGCCCCCTGGATAGAAGCTCACAGCCTTGGAGACCTGCAGGGACGCCTCACCCTCTTGGCCTGAAGCTGCCACCTTCATCAGCCAGGCAGGGGACAGGCAAAGGAGCATGTTTCCTGTGGGCAAAGAGAAGAAGGTGGCGGGCCAGGGAATGCTCAAGCGCTGCCAACCCCCTCCACCTCCAGGCCAGGCTTCTGCGTCAGGGGGGTCAATGACTCCCAGAACCCACCCCTACTTAGAGCAGCTGGTCCTGGGGAATGCAGGCAATTGCCAAGGTTGGTGGGTATTTTGGGATATGGCTGGGCTAGGGCAGGGCTGCCCTTTCTGTAGGAGAGGATAGGGAACTTGGGCACACACTCACCAGGGCTCTGGACCCCACCTTCCAGCAACAGAGATAGAAAAGTGCTGGGGGAGCCCAGAACGCACAAGGTCACCTCTGCCCCAGGGCAGCCTAGGGAAAGAGAACATTGCCATGTCCACCAAGAGTCCTCCTGCCGTCTTTCTGCTCATTCCCTGTGACCTCCCCATTCCCACCCTCACTCTTAGGCCTCCCAGGTCCTTCTTAGGGGTCAAATGAGAAGAAAGCAGAGGACAGAGGGAACTGAACATGAAGGGGGAGATGTCTGTCATCCTGCCTCAACTGGCTCTGTTTTATCTGCATCTGATCCAGAAGGCACTGGAGGATGAGTCTAACTTGAGGTTGGATTTTGCATGTGACCTGAGAAGGGCCACTATTTCTCTAAGCCTCAGTTTTTCCTATCTGTGTGATGGGAACAAGCCTGTGATTCTCATGTACTCTAGCTGCAGATCATTTGGCCCACACAAAATTATTCATGACCCACCTGACCTATGAAACAAGGAGACATCTTGGGATCACAACTGCTCAGCTGCCTCCATAGCATCTCCTAAGACATCGCTCTAGAAGTTTCAGCTCCACAGAATATGCAAATGATATTGTGGATTTCCAAGGAGCAGAGTGGGTAGGGTGGGACATGGTAGGGAGCCCTGACCCAATGTCCTTGGGGACAATACCTGCCTACCTTAGGCCCCCTGGTTTTACTAGACAAAACCAGAGCCTGGGTCAGAACCAGCCTGAACAGACAGAGGTAAGCAACTGGACTGAAGGGCCCTCCCTGTATCTGGGAGAACCCCTTTGTGGATCCCTGAGGCACCTGTACGAGGTGCCTGGCTGCGGTCCTGGGTCTCGGGAAGGCCAGCTTGCTGCAGACAGCTCTGAAGGAGACTGTAGTAGTATACTGTCCAGGCCCGAGCCTCAGCCTCTTCTGGAAAGCCCTTGCAGTCCAGGCTAACATCCTGACGCCAGGGTCCAGGGAAGCAGCCTGTGGGTGGTAGGGCAGCGCCTCCTTTGCATGGTCCTTCCTTTCCATCCAGGTCCTTAGAGCCCAGGGGATAGTCCCTGTCGGTACTCGGTGGATCCAGGCAGAGCTGAGCAGGGGGCAGAAAAGGTACATCTTGGGCAGGATTGGCAAGGGAGCACTCAAGGGTATAAACCTACCTCCCAGTCTTCCCACCTGGCTCAAGTTCAAAGGACCAGAAGAGGAAGGAGTTAGGAGGAGGAAGGCTTACCAAGTGGGAAGTGTGGCTAGATGGTGTCCCGAGCAGGAGGATGGGAAGGGAAGTCCTTCCTGGGGGACTGCTGGCACCTGTCCCGCACTAGGGCCATCCCTTTTAGCTGGGTTTAGGAGCTCAGGTTTTGTTATTTTCCTCATTGCAGTCCCAGCTCCACACAGTGCCCAGCACACAGTAACTGCTCCACAGATGGTGACTGACTGAAATATCTACTGAAACAGCTCAACCATCGTCCAGCTCTGTTATCTCTGCCTCAGTGACTCATTTACTGTCACGGACTTTGCTGTCACCTATTAGGTGAATCTATTTTCTATGCATCACCTCGGGATGGCTGCCATCCTATTTATTTATTTGTTTGTTTGTTTGTTTTTTGAGACATGGTTTCATGTAGTTCACGCTGGCCTCAAGTAGTGGAGAATGGCCTTGAACTTCTGATCCATCTGTCTCTGCTTCCTGAGTACTGGGATTATAGGCATGTGCCACCATGACAGGTTTGCATGGTGCTGGAGATGAACTCAGCCTCCTGTGGACTGAGCCAGCACTACTCTACCAACTGCCTTTCAACCTGTCCCTCCTTTCATTCCTTCTTCTTCTTCTTCTTCTTCTTCTTCTTCTTCTTCTTCTTCTTCTTCTTCTTCTTCTTCTTCTTCTTCTTCTTTTTCTCTTTTCCTCTGCTGTTTTTGAGACAGGGTTTTGCTCTTTAGACCAGGCTGAGACTGAGAACTCAAGGCACTCCATTTCCCAAGCGGAGAGATTTCAGATGTGCTCCACTGCATCTGCTCCACAGGGGATTAACTACAGGCTAGGCAAGCAGTTCTGCAAACAAATTGTAACCTCAGCCCTGTTTTGCTTTTTTTTTTTTTTTTTTTTTTTTGCTATTTGACCCATGCTAACCTTGAATTGGCAATCCCACCACACATCTCTCTAGGTGTATGGCGTCCTGGCATTGTTTTCTTTGCAGGAAGTCTGACACACCTGACCCTCTCTGAGGCTGGGGGTCTCAGCATGATAGAAATGGGGACATTCCTTCTTGCAGTGCCTTGGCCTATACAAGCCTGGCAACTGGGCCTGTCTTTCAGGAGACAGGCTGAACCACCTTAGACAGGTTGCTAGCTCTCTCTGGTTTGATGGCTGCCCGGTACCCTCCTTGTTCCCCTCCATGGGTTCTGAAGTGACATGTCTGACCTAGAGGGGAATCATATATTGGTTCAGAAACTGTAAGCTATGGTCCAGACATGCGAGGTCTGAACCTCAGATCTTTGCTTGTGTCTCAGGACACCAGGGCTGAATTCTTTGTGCCCTTTCCTAGAAAAGTACCCTAATGTCATGGACTGTAGGCTCATCGAGTGTTCCCAAACCCACACCAGTGCTGGGGATAATGTGGCGCAGGTGAGTGCCTGGTACACTGGGAAGGGGTCAAGGGTGGAGCTGGTTATGGGGCAGGAGCTGTCAGAAGCAGGATGTGGGTGTCAGTCCTTGTCCTCCCTCTATCCAGGGACTTGGGCCTTTGTGGGAAGGGACCACAAGAGACTCACCATCTTGGAGGTGGAGAGGCTGAGAGACTAAGGGACAGAGAGACAAAGCAGGAATCAGGGCAGCCGGGTCCCTAGCTGACTTTTCAGCCCTTAAGACTTCAAAGAGTCCAAACAACCTCTGTCCTATCCCTGCCCCACCCCCACCCTCAAGAGAAACTTCTGTTCCATGGACCCCTGGAGCCATGCATCTCCTAGTCCCACCCCCACCCCCAGCCCATTACTCCAGTCATACTGGGGTGTTGGCTCAACCCCTGAAGTGGTGATGGTGGGGCTGCCGGTGTATAAGGTTAGTGTCCAGCTCTACAGGTTCTCAGGGTCCCCAACCTGCGTTCACTCCCACTTATCCCTGCTCCCTGGCTCCCCTGGGGTAGGGCAGGAACCGGGGTACCTGCTGGTAGCAGCAACTGGACCAAGCTGAGCGGTCGAGCGGGTAGGCAAAGACCAAGGGAGCGCCGCAGTGGTGGTGGCGCTGCTGTAAGTGGTGTGCCCTTAAATAGTGAGCCTGGCCATGCCTGGGGCGGGGCAACCCGGATTCATGCCAGAGCCCCGCCTACCCCCTTTCCCTTGTGGCTCTGCCTCTGCACCTCAGGCTTAGGACAAGGGACTTGTGGGCAGGAGGGTGTTGGGATCTGACGACTGAAAGAGACAAACAACAGAACACAGAGGTACCCTCAGATATACAATGCGATCCAAGGCAAGGGCTATCCAGACATAGACAGATCTACAGTGAATCCACAGGGAGAAGACAGAAAGCCATGGGCAGTGACAAGAGGCAGCGTAGGGAGGGCTGATCCCGGCCAGCCTGTTACTGGAGATGCCTGCCTGGGGTCCGGTACAGCTGAAGCCTACCCTTAATTGGAGCAGAGCTCCTAGTGCTCCTAGCTAGGCAGCTGTCAGTCCTAGTCAGGAGCCCCTGGCTGCAGGTCATAGTCTCTCACAGAGTCCCTTGAGTCAGGATCTCTGCCTGTTAGGTAGTATGAGGATGGCCCAATAAAACGCTACAGTGAAGTCAGCAATATATACTTGCCATGGCAGGGCCAACAGCCAGGTGTTGAGCATTCAGAGGCCAGCATACCGGATTGGTGTGCCTGCAGTTGCACCTACAATCCCCCTTCAAACCACACAATTATACCTCGGGTTCATGCAGTCTGCTGAGTGTGTTTCTCACTAAGTGTTAGTATTTCACACTAACCTTAGTCCTGGGCTGCAAGATCTGGACATCTACACTTCTCATACTGAAGTTCACTTTCCTTCTGCCTCGAATGGGGCCAGATCTCTTATAGGGTCTAGTCCTGTATGGCCTCCACCTTGCCCTAAACACTCTGGCCCTCCCTCCCCCTGCTTGCCCCCCCCCAGGACCTCTACTGTTCTCAAGAGCATCTTTGGCAAGGAGAGTATTAAGGAGCCAGCAGCACTCCTTGGGGACAGAGGTAGCAGCTTTTGTAGCTTCCAGTAAGTGCATTCATAGCATTCTGTGGAGACCACCTCTGTCTCTACCACTCAGAAGGGAAGGTGATTTGTCCAGGGGTTCCTAACACCCCCACATCTACCTATTGGACTTTCCAGACTGCTATGAGATACCCTGCTTCAGGGCCACATGAGTCCCTAATTATCTTCACTTTCACTTCTACAATAAGGAGCAGCCACTCCACAAGCCTCTGGAGACTCAGTTTCTCACTTTCAAGTGGGGGTTACTGTGCATTCTTTACAGGTCTGGCTGAGTGGGGTCTCTGGACACTAGGCGAGCTGGTGGTTTTATCAAGTGCTTGACCTTTTTCATTTTCACACAGGCTTTCTCTGTGTATCCCTGGCTGTCCTGGAACTCACTCTGTAGAGCAGTCTGGCCTTGAACTCACAGAGATCTGCCTGCCTCTGCTTCCCAAGTGCTGGGATTACAGGCATGTGCCACCACTGCCTGGCCTGCAAGTGCTTATGGTTGTAATAGGCACTGTATGAGAGCATGCAGTATCTCAATTCTTCATATTGTGAAAGCTGTTATAACTCTATGCACAGGGAAGTGAGACTCACAGAAAGGCAGTGTGATCTGTCCAAGGTCACACCGCTGGTAAGAAGCCAGCTAGCTGGGATCTTTCCTCTGCTCAAATGGGTGCATGCTGCTCAAGGGACAGCATGGTCCTGCCCCACCCCCTGGCAAGCCCATCTGGGCATCAGACCAAGTAAAAATGTCTCAAATTTATTTACAAATGATAGAGGGGAGGAGAAATAACAGAAGCAAAACATCTAGCAGCTTCCTATATGTTGAAAGATGGGGCCATACTCCAGGAGTTAGACCATGAGAATATGCCATTATTTTTATAATCCAACCAGTTAAGAAGTAATATTACAGCCTGGCAATGGTGGCACCTGCCTTTAATCCCAGCACTTGGGAGTCAGAGACAGGCGAATCTCTGTGAGTTCAAAAACAGCCAGGACAGCCAGGGCTATACAAAGAAGCCCTGTCTGGAAAAACTTTTTTAAAAAAAGCAATATTTCTGGGCATAATGATGAAGCTTGTAAATCCCAGAACTAGGCAGTAAGGAAAACTGCTGCAAATTCCAGGCTAACCTTGACTACTTAGTGGGACACTAATTCAAAAAAATCAAAGTAATACTAAGCTGGGCCTGATATCACAGGCCTGTCCTCCCAGATACTTGAAAGTTTGAAGCAGGAGGATGACAAGTTCATACCTGACTGGGCTACAAATCAAGCTCCAGGCCAGCATGGGTCACTTTATAAGACCTTGTCTCAAAATGAAAAATCAGAAGGAAGACTGGGGGTGTGACTCAGTAACAGAGCTTGCTTGGTGCAGATGAGGGCTGTGTTCAACTCCATTACCTCAAACAAAACAAGACAGCTATGCAGCGATGGTGCACACCTTTAATCCAAGCACTTGGGAGGCAGAGACAGGTGGATCTCTCAGTTTGAGGCCAGCCTGGTCTACATGGTGAGACACTGAAAAATCATGTCTTGAAAAAACAAGCAAATGGGGCTGGAGAGATGGCTCAGAGGTTAAGAGCACTGACTGCTCTTCCAGAGGTCCTGAGTTCAATTCCCAGTAACTACATGGTGGCTCACAACCATCTGTAATGAGATCTGGTACCCTGTCTGGCCTGCAGGCATATATGCAAGGAGAATGCTGTATACATAATAAAAAAATCTTAAAAAAAAAAAAGAAAAAAACAAGCAAATGACAAAAACTAAACAAGACAAAGACACTATGGCTGGGTGTGGCAATCCCAGCAATCAGGAGGCTAAGGCTGGAAGATGGTGTGTTGAAGGCTATCCTGGGCAACATAGAAAAACCCTGATTTGAAGGAGGCATGGTGACCCACACCTGTAATCCAAGCATTTCCAGAGGTGGAGGTAGGAGGATCAGGAATTCAAGATTATTTTAGGCTACATATTGAGTTTGAGGTCAGTCTGGGCGACATGAGATTTTGTTTCAAAGCACAAGCAAATAATGCCCTGTTTCAATAAAACAAAACCAGCTGGGCTTGGTGGCATTTACCTTTAATTCTAGTACTCAGGAGGCTGAGGCAGGAAGATCACCATGTTTGTGGCAACTTTGTCAACAGTAAATTTCAGCCCAGCTTAGGCTATCTATGAATATCCTGTCTAAAAAAGAGAGAAAGGAAAAATAGTCAAGTATTGTCTCAACGTCGGCACAGTAGCACATAACTGTCTGCAATTCATTCAACACCCTCTTCTGACCCCTTTGGACATCAGTCAAGTGATGGTACACACATATATATATGCAGGCAAAATACTCATACACATAAACAAACAAAAATGACTAATAAGATGGTTCAGTGAACAACCCACTTGCTGCCAAGCCTGATAACCTGAGTTCAATCCCTGGAAGCCATAGAACCAACCCCTGCAAGTTGTCCTCTGACATCTACACACATGTATGATGCATGCACATACACACACACACACACACAACCAACATCAAAAATGTGAGCCTGTGTCTCTTTGCATTAGAGCTCCCTCTCCCCAAGCTTTGCCCAATCTGTGTAGCCCAGTCCTTTTCATCCATGGTCAATGTAAATCAGCTGTGCTTTCTTTCCCCAAGTTTTCATGATAAAAATGGTCTGGCTTTGTACTTTCCAGCTGCTACCCAACCTTGCTGCTGGTGGTCCCAGAACTGATCCAGTTTTCTGACCAGTATCATTGTGACGGTTCAATAAACCATATTATTTCAGGGAAATCTCTGTCTCAAGAGTTATGAAAGGGTGACCAATTCAAGTTGTGTAACTTCAGTCTGGGCTTAGGGCACTGAGATGTGGGTCAGGCATGGGGAGGAGTTGTCTCAATGTCTTTGCTAGGGAAGAGGTAATGCCACCCAAGGCTGAGCTGGGTAGGGTGAGGATAGAGTAAGAAAAAGTGATTCTGCTGTGATGCCATTATGAGAGGGAAGCTGGAATGGGAGTGGTAATCTGCCCATTATCTGTGGGGAAAAACTGAGGCTCAGAAAGATCCTGAAAGTCTATCCTATTCAAGAACTTGACAGGAGGTTCAAATCTCAGCTCTGAACCTGGGAATCTGTGGGGGCAGGAGACCTGTAGTGAGTGAAGTACAAGATGGAGATCAAGAGTTCCCCCAGCCCCCATCCTAGGGTGTGGATTCACCTGTGAGCCCTGCTCCTGTCCCAGGACATACCTTTTGTGACAATACAGGTTGGCAGACACCTCTAGGTGTCATCCCAGTTTGTCTCCACAGGTTAAACATCTTAGGTGTGCTTCCTGACTCAACCCCTTTCCAGATAGTTTTTTGTTTTGTTTTGTTTGTTTTCAGGTTTGAGACATGGGTTCCCTGTGTAGTTCTGGCTGTCCTGGAACACACTCTGTAGACCAGACTGGCCTCAAACTCACAGAAACGCACCTGCCTCTGCCTCCTGAGTGCTGGGATTAATTAAAGGCGTGTCTACCACACCTGGCTTCCAGGCAGTTTTTAAAGGAGCTGTTGGGTTCATAGCAAATGGCTGCTCAGTTGCTCCCTGCATAAAATCACCTGGTTGAAGAGTCATTGCCACTGTCTCACACAACATATCTCAACGGGATTGCATGGGTCCATGCTGCCTGGAATAGGATGTTTTTTCCCATCTAGTGCAGAAGTGTCGGAAAGGTTGGAACTGCTTTGTGAAGGAAGGCTCATCAGAATGTGTGACAAGGGTTCACATTAAAGCTGGACATGGTGATGCATGCCTTTGATCTCAACAGAGGCAGAAACCTTCAGATCTCTGTAAGTTTAAGGCCAACCTGGTCTACATTGTGAGCTCCAGGTCAGGCAGGGTTGTATATTGAGAAGCTGTCACACAACAAAAGAACTGTACTTGCACAAGAAGGAACCTATTTGTCCTCTCTGAGTTCTCAGGGTTGCCATGGAGATGGCTGGCAACGGGACCTGCTCAAGTGATGCCCAGAGAATGCTTCCCATAGGAAGGACAGTGACTCTGCCCCAGTGAGGGTCCTGCTGGAAAGCATCTACTTGTGGTGTCTGTGTCCAGTGAACCACTGCTATAGAGACTGTCTCAGCTCATGTCTGCAAAGGTCCCATCCCCATGGTCTCCTAGAAGAGCTGAACTGTAGCGGGAAAGGGGCATATGGTTGTCTGCCCGAGAGCCCCACTTTTGTTGTTTGTTTTGGAGACAGGGTTTCTCTGTGTAGCCCTAGTTATCCTGGAATTTGCTCTGTAGAGCAGGCTGACTTGGACATCACAGAGATCCACCTGCCTCTGCTTTCCAAGAGTTGAGATTTAAGGTGCATGCTACCACCTCCTGGCAAGATTCCCCCTTTTGACTGCCACAGCTTGGGCACTAACTAGAGGCTCTGAGATTATATCCTGGTAGTCCTAGCTGCCTCTGCCTCCCATTGTGGCCTTGTACTGCAAGCTCAGCCTGCTTCCTAGCCTCCTTTTCTCATGTAAGACTGTCAGGACTGTGCAGAGACACTGACAGGGAATCTGAGGAATGGCCTTATGAACCCCACATGAAATAATAGTTAAGTTGTGGATACCCTAGTGAGTGAGGAAAAGGAAGAGGAGGTCCCAGAAGTTCCATGTCTTTGTACCTTTCTTTATTGTAGTGGGTATGGAATCCAAGATCTCACACATGCTAGACAAGCACTCCTTCACTAAGCTATGTTTTCAGTCCTCTATTTACTTTCTTGTTTTGAGATACAGTCTCCCTAAATTACCCAGGCTAGCCTTGAACTCACTTGAGGCCAGGCAAGACTTGAATTGTGACTCTCCAGCCTCAGTCTCCCATGTAGCTGGGAATACAGGCCTGCACCACCAAGCCTAGCTCTTCTAGGTGTTTAACACAGGAGCCATCCTGGAGAGTAGGCCAAAGTGGATGTCCAGGGTGGGGGAGGGGGAATGCTGGTTTATGGGATGCCAAGAGTGGAGATTAACCTTGGGTCTGACACGATAGTAAGGATTTATTTTAGTCAAGTTCACTCTACTTCCAAGCATCAGTTTCCCTAGGGAAACTACAGAAAAGGGTCTGGCCTTTTATAACTATTTCCTCTGGAGCAGGCTCCATGTGAGGGAGACAGATTTGTCTGGTCCTGACAGGTACCACAAAAACATATATGGGGTACTTTTCTTTTCTTGCTCTTTTTTAGAAGGGGATAGGGAAAGAGGGTTGAAGCAGGGTCTCCCTAGGTAGCCCAAGCTGGCCTTGAACTCACTCCTGATCTTCTTACCTCCACTTTTCCAGGTGCTGGGATTATAAATGTGCATCATCTGTCATCACTAGAACGTTCCAGATCCAGATTCCAACAGGGGACCACATCAAAGTCCCAGCACAGCTGATGGAAAGCTCCCATCCCTACCCAGGGACCCACACCTATTATCTCTAAGTGTATATGCTGGTATGTGGCTTCCCATTTGCACACCTCTTTCTCCAACACTGTTTCACAAGGAACTGATACCAGGGACTTTGTCATGGCCAGGGCAATGTCACCATACTTCTGAGGACACACTGACCTCTAATTTGAATCTTTTTTTCTGAGACAGGGTGTCTCTATAGCTTTGGAACCTGTTCTGTAATTTACTCTGTAGACCAGGCTGTCCTTGAACTCACAGAGATCCGCCTGCATCCTGAGTGCTGGGATGAAAGGCATGCGCCACCACTGCCCAGCATTCTACTCTGAATCTTTACACAGGAGAATTAACTCATTAAAAAAACAAAAACAACACACTCCTGAGCTATGGAAGATTACCAGGTCTTAGCCCATTGCCTCATTAGATTTGTCTCTTCCTTTGTTTGGGGTGGGGATGGGTTACTGGTCTCCCTCTGAATCAGCACTGCCCCTTTCTCCTTGAGTGGAACATCTCCCTGTTCACCTTCAGTCTGCTCCGTCTCACCTCTGTTGCCTCCCCCACAGTCAGAGGCTGGTTTCCCAAGGAAAGGTGGCCTCCAACCCTTCTCCCCAACTCCTGCCTGGCTGGGAAGCTACCCAGGGAGCCAGACCAACTAGGACTCCGTGGAGACAAGAAGCCAGCATCAGAACCAGCCCTGTTGTCTTGACAATGGCTCATGTCTCAGGCACTCTAGGCACCCACAGGGGCAATTAGTGAGTGTGGGAGAGGGTTTCTATGGCTGCGGTCCCAGGAGGTACACCAGGGCTTAGCGGAGAACAAAGGCTGGCAGGACCTTTCTCCTTTGTCCTGAGCACACTAGGTCTTTGTTCTTTTCTTGCTCTCTTTGACAGATGAGACCAGGAGCATGGCTGGGGAGGCCAACATGGCTTAGAGTCCCCACCTAAGGGAGGCCTGAGCCATCTGGAGGAGGCAAAGAGAGGCTGGAGTCCCCTCTGGGGCCCAGCTGTCATTGGGGAGCCTTCCTCTGACCTATAGAGAAGCCTGGTCTGTACCCCTGAGGTTGCCACTTGGTGGCTTGTTACTGGCTTCTTTCCCTGTAAACACCTTACCCAGCAGCCAATGGGCAGTCTTGGTGTGTCCCCATGCGGGACTATGACAGGAAAGGGGAATGTGGGCACGAGGGGACATGTCAATAAGTCCAGGGTGGAGAGTGGAGGAATATTTGATCCAGCTCTATCCAAGTATCTTCTCAGTCAGGCTTTATTTGGGGTTCCCCAACAAGAAGCCCATGGGGACACGGTATCCCAGCCCGAAGCATCACCCCCACACTCCTTCAGTGCCGGCTTTGATTCTGGCAATGGCAGGTACTGGACAACTCCCCACAAGCTCCACTCAGTGACCTTCCTTTATCTTTGTGCCTGACACAGTTCTTAAAGTGGGGAGCTACTCCTCTCCTCTAGATGGTCCTTGCTGGGAACAGAGCAAAGTCACGCAGCTCAGAAATAAAGTGCAGTACACATTCTGGGGCTGGCATGGCTGCTCAGATGACTAAGATGTGGTGGCAGTAAGCACACACTGTACACTCAAGACACTCAGAAGCGGGTGTCCAGGAAAGAGGCAGAACCTCGGTGGGACCTAGAGGGACCCTCGATAGGGGGTCCCCGAGACCTTGTTAGGAGCCCATGGAAAGTCTTGCCACGGGTCTGTGGCTTGCGCCGCGGTGGTCTGGGCTCCTCTGGGGGCTGCACCACTATTCGGGGTATCTCAGGTTTGGTGCTTTCTCGAACCCTTGCGAGCTGCTGGGACTCAAAGATGGCTTGGGCCCCAGGAAGGCGGGCCTGTGGCAGAGGTGCTGGCCCAGGTGATGACTTGGGCAGATGGGCCAGCTGGATCCTGACTTCCCGTTGCAGATCTCGCTCAGACAGGGCTACACTGTGGACCTGTAAAGAACAGTTGATGCTGACTTTGTCTGGACTGGGGTGGCAGGGAGCAGGAAGCCTTGAGGTCCCCATGGGGCAAGCAGTACACCACCCCAGGAAGTGGCTGAGGGCTGAGACACAGCTTTGCTGAGGCCTGGGGTTCTCACGCGCTCTGCAGCTCAGAGCACAGGCATTGCTCCTTACTCTCGCCTGGGCTCAGTCTTCCCAGCTATGCAGCATGGGCAAGGCCACTGAGGATGATGAGCTGAGAGAGATACCCACCTGGGACATGAAGGTCTCTTCCTGCAGCTGGGAGGGGGGGATGGCTCGAAGGGCCCCCAGTGTCTCCAAGAGCCCTGGGCATGCTGTGCGCTGTTCCACAGTGCCCAGCGCCAGGCGCATCAGTGTCAGCCCCACACGGAATAGCACCTTGGCACCTGCAGGGAAGGCGGTTGCTCACTCACAGGAAGCCAGTCTGCCCCCTCAGTTCTTCAGCTGAATCAGCCCCCAGACATGCTCCTTCTACCTCACTGCAGCTCATGTCCCCTAACCCGGGCCAGGAAAAATGGCCAAAGACGGCAATTTGTTTATTTTTTGAGACAGGGTCTCATGTAACCACGCCTCCGTCTGCCTATGACCTTGACCTGAGCCGCCTGTCTCTTCCTCTAGAGAGCTGGAGTACAGGCCTGTGACAACACAAGTGCTTGGCTTTTTTTGGGGACAGTCTTACTTTGTAGTTCTGGCTGGCTGGAACTTATGTAGCCAAGGCTAGCCTCCAGCTCACAGTAACCCACTAGCCTTTGCTTTCTAAATGCTTGGATTCAAGGTATGGCTGCCATGCTAAATTTCTTTTGTTTTGTTGAGACAGGGTCTCACTGTGTAGCTCAGACTGGCCTGGAATTCATTATGAAGCCCAGACTGGCCTTGAACTTGCAGCAATTCTCCTGCCTCTGCCTCCTGAATACTGGAATTACAGGTGTGGGCCACCACACCTGGGCATTTATTTATTTATTTCCTGTCTCTCTCTCTCTCTCTCTCTCTCTCTCTCTCTCTCTCTCTCTCTCTCTCTCTCTCTCTCTCTCTCTGTGTGTGTGTGTATGTGTGTGTGTGTACTGTGTGACTGCCACATCACAAGTGTGAAGATTAAAGAACATCTTGTAGAAGTCAGTTCTTAGCAGGAAATGGTGGCGCACACCATTAATCCCAGCATTTCGGAGGCAGAGGCAGGTAGATTTCTATGAGTTTGAGGTCAGTGTGGTCTACAGTGTGAGTTCTAAGACAGCAAGGGCTACACAGAGAAACCCTGTCTTGAAAAAGAAGTCAGTTCTTTTCTTCTACTGTGTGAAACCTAGAGATCAAGCTCAAGCCATCAGACTTGGTGGCGAGTCCCCTTACCCACTGAGTCATCTCATCAGCCCATACATCTGCCTTTTTGTTCTCCTGAGATAGTCTCAGTCTAGAGGCCACACTGGAACTATGTGACCCAGCTTTGCCTTGAACTCACAGCAACACCCCTGCCTTGGTCTCTGAGCTGGGATTATAAGTGTGAATTATGATGCCTAGAAGGAAGACTACAAATTGAGGGCACGGGACCTTGCAGGGCAAGCCAGTCTCAGGATGCTAGACACTTCCAGGCAGGGCAGCCAGCCAGGGGCTGCTAACAAACTTATGCCAAGTCTCAGAGTCTCAGCACCCTGTCTCCTCAAGGAGCAGTTGGATTGGTGCCTATTAAGGACTTTCCATCTTGAATCTGCCACCTTCTGACTCTAGGAAGGTTCTGGGCAGAACTTCATTTCTTCCTAACCAAGAACATAGCTCTCTCTCTCTCTCTCTCTCTCTCTCTTCTCTCTCTCTCTCTCTCTCTCGCTCACTCGCTCGCGCGCGCGCACACACACACACACACACACACACACACACAGAGAGAGAGAGAGAGAGAGAGAGAGAGAGAGAGAGAGAGAGAGAGAGAGAGAGAGAGAGAGAACTTGGCCTTGGCCAGTCTCTTTCTGGCATCCTCTGAACCACTAAGAGCCAACTAGATGCCAGGAAGACCTAGTGACTACTGTCTAGAGGAACAATTGCCAGCGACAATGTCATCATTGCTATTAAAGGGACCTGTACAGTGCTTGTCCCTAGGTACAGGGGATAGGGATCAATCGAACCACCATGATCAGCCCTGCCTCTTAAGGTTAGAGGCTAGAGGAGAGGTGCCACATGTGCTTTGGGTACTTAGACCATGATTTTTTTTTTTTAAGATTTGGAGATAGAGTTTCATGTAACCCAGGTTGGCCTTGAACTCACTATGTAGCCAAAGGGGATCCTGAACTTCTGATTCTCTTGCTACTGTCCACCAAGTTCTGTGATTACAGGCATATACACAGGCATATGCCTAGTTTTTATCTTTTTCTTTTTGTTCTTAAAGACAGGTTTTCTGGGGCCGGGCGTTGGTGGCGCACGCCTTTAATCCCAGCACTCGGGAGGCAGAGGCAGGCGGATCTCTGTGAGTTCGAGGCCAGCCTGGTCTACAGAGTGAGTTCCAGGACAGCCTCCAAAACAATACAGAGAAACCCTGTCTCAAAAAACCAAAAAATAAAAAATAAAGACAGGGTTTCTCTGTATAGCTCTGGAGGCTGTCCTAGAACTTGCTTTGTAGAACTCACAGAGATCCACCTGCCTCTGCCTCCCGAGTGCTAGGATTAAAGGCATGCGCCACCACCTCTTGGCCCATGCCTAGTTTTATACAATGCTGAAAATTGGACCAGGCTCCAATTGCATACTAGATAAGAACTCTACCAACTGAGCTAGGTACATTACTAGACCTGAACCTGACTGTAGGGGAAATCTCTAGACGTATGGGACAGCATAGAGCAGAACCCTAAAGACCCAGAGTCAACTCTGCTCTGATGTCCCTTCCACTCTTGGGTCCCATCACTCTCTCTCTTTTCTTTTTTTTTTAAGATTTATTTATTTATTACATATACACCAGATTGAATTGTAGATGGTTGTCAGCCACCATGTGGTTGCTGGGAATTGAACTCAGGACCTCTGGAAGAGCAGTCAGTGCTCTTAACCTCTAAGCCATCTCTCCAGCCCCCACCCTCTCTCTTTTCTACCCTTATTTCTCCATGTCCTTCCTCCCAAGAGTCACCTGGACTGGCTGTGACCTGATATCCTTGCCTGTAGTGTCCTTCCTGTCCCCTGACCCCCACCTGCTTGCCTTTCAGAATCCCTCCTTCATAGAGCAGCCAGAACCATCTTTAAAAACAGCAACCACCTTCTGCTGCTCTCCTGACACCCTGTCACATCCCTTGATTTATTTTTTCATGGCACTTATGACATTCTATAAATATCTCCTTAATTTGGGTACTGTCACCTCCTAGCCCCACCCCCACCAAAATGAAAGTTTCACAAGCTAGCTGTCAGAGCCAGCTTGCCGGGTCACTCGGAAGAGCCACGGGCGCAAGGCCCTGAAGAGCATCTCCTATTGCTGTGGACCTTGCCTCGGCCTTGGGCATCCCGAACCACTCACATCCCACGACATGTGTGTCAACCAGCCCGGCTACTGCCTAGCAGGCCCCAGGCCCCCATCCACATCAGAGACATCCCTGTCCTGCACTCAGCCTCCCACTGTGGTCCTCGTGACAAAGCAGTGACTCTCATTCGCTACTCTGGGATTGTCAGGGAGGTGAGCTGTTTTCTCCACGGACACAAGGTCCATGTGACCCAAGGCTGAGTAGGAGCAGCAAGCACAGCAAACTCAGAAAGTGAGCTAGCCCCCCCCTCCCCGCCCTACTCACCCTCACTAAGGAAGGCATCCCAGATGCGCAGCACCGTGGGGAAGGGCAGCGAGCGGGTGAAGAGGCACAGGAACCACTCGGGCAGGTAGAGCAGGGGTCCAACGCCCACCTGCTGCAGGTGCTTGTGTACACGTGGGAGCAGTCGCCGCAGAAGGGCCATGAACACTTCAGCATCCAGCTGCACCGCCTCCTACAGGCAGGCTCCTCATCAGCCTGGCCAGCCAGTGCTGTACACCTCCACCCCCAAACTCCAGGCTTCTGGTCCCTCACTCCCCTGGCCCTCACTTCCCGTTTTCATATCCCTACACAGCTGCTCACCATGTGGGGCCCATAGTAGCCAGGGAGGTAGACCTCGCAGATCTGCACCAAGCACCAGAAGGCTTCCTGAGGGCAGGGCACAGGTCCGTGAGTCCTCATTAAGGAAGGGTCCACAGAGGAGGAGGAGAGGTAGGGAACAGGCCCAGGGACATGGGTATACGCCACTCCCACCCTGCTCAGAGCCTGCTCTGTCCTGGGGGTGAGGGGCTGGAGATCACAGGGTTTGGGGTTCTGTATTTGAAGGTCATAAGACCCTTTGGGAAAAGTTGAGAAGCTCTCAGAGTTTATATCCCAGAATCCTAAGGTCAGTGGGGTCCCCCCACCCCAGGGACAAGACCATGGTGCTCCCAACTCAGTTCAGTGTCACAAATTATAAGACTGGGAAAGCCAGTGTGAGTGGATGTTCCTGGCAAACCTGGGCATGGTACAGAATCAGAATGTCAAAGGGAAATTTTTCCAGTCTCCTAGACCCCTGGGGTAAAGGCCGGGATCGAAGGTCTCAGGTTTAAAAGTCAGGATGATAGACGGCAGCATTACTGAGACTAGTGGACACGAGGTTTGGGCACTACAACAGGACATGAAAATAAAGGACCACAGGTTCTGGGGTCTGAGTACCTGGGACTGGAGTCTAAGAGCTCAGAATCACACGGGGCACAGGTCAATGGGATTGAGGGTCTCAGAGCAGGGTCACGGTCACTCACCTCGGGGGGCAGATGCATGAGCAGCACAGCAGCTACAGGGCCCTGAGCCTGGCAATAGCCCTGCTCTGGCCGGTACAGGGTGTAGGCCTTGAGAACCTGCAGCAGCCCCCGCTGCCTGTGCCAGAAGATCTCATTAGGGCTATCCTCCTAAGCGTCCCTTCCCTGCCCTCTGTGGCCTCTGCCCAGGTCATAGTCTCCCTCAGCCAAGGATGTAAATCTGAAGTAGGGAACTGGGCTGAAGCAGCTAGCATGAGGACTTGGGGTCACTGGGTTTCCCTGGCCTCGTACCCGTGTCCCTGGGGTGACACAAACATCTCGTGCAGAGGAAACTGGCGGTGCAAGTCCCTGCCAATGGTCTCCATCCACTGTGGGTCTCCAGGGGCCACTGCCAACTCCTGCAGGAGGCAGGAAGGTGGATGAGGGCTCAGGGCTCCAGGAACTCTGAGAAGGGGAGGTACAGAGTCTGCCCACTTCCTCACCTGATAGGTGCTGGGGTTGTTCTTCTGGCACATCTGGGCCCCACACAGCAGGGGCCAACACCGGGCCCGCAGGGCTGAAGGGATGCCCTTCCGGCATTGCATCTTTACCTGCGGGTGAGATCCAGCTGTGTTAGGTCAACCTCTCTTACAGCTTCTCATTGGCCGAGGGCCCCCTGGGCTGGCAGAGGCAGTGGAGATAAAGAGCCATGGGGACCAGTATACACAGAGCCCTCTTCCTCACCTTCTTGTACCGGCGAGACATGGTCTTCTCCCAGTGTGAGGTCATCTCCACCCACTTCATCTCCCGCTGGCGGATGAGGTCTGCAGGGGGTTGGCCAGGCCTGGAGGCACACATTCCTTGGAACTTACGCTTTCCCATTCTGGGCTACGGGGGACCACTGAGGAGTCCTGGGAGGGGATCTGTGGCCCAGAAGCTGCCAGTGGTGATTGGTATTTGGCTTTAACAGGGACAGAAGCAGGAAAGACTGAAGCAGTGAGGAGGTTTGTACTGAGGGAGAGCCTGTTTGACTATCACCCACAACAGAGACAGAGACAGTTCACAGGGGCTCCTGGGGGACGGTGCCCTGAACTCAAAGCCAGAATCTGCTTCTGTTTCTGATCTGCTGTGCGATGTGGGGCAAGTTTCTGTCTGTCTCTGGGCCTGTTTAACTGGGTAAGGTAAACCTGAAGAAGAGAATGAAAGAGGTACGAATTTCCATCTGGAGCTCTTGGGCCAGAGATGAAAAGGTGAAAGGTGCAGCTATAAGGGCGCGTTCAGACCCTCAAAGGATAAAAAGGACATTTCCTTCACTGGCATTCTTACCTTAGAATTCCACCTGAGATCTGAGAGTGGCACTGGCTGAGTTCCGGGCTAGTCTCTACAGCCAGAACTCAGTCTCGGTACCCTATCTCCCTACCCATGCCTCACTTACCCCAGTTCTGCTGAGTTGCCCCCAATGAAGCCATAGCGGTCAGCCTGGCGATATGGACTGGGCCCACTCAGCTCCGAGTCAGACCCTAGAGAGCTAGAATCATCCTGTAGCTCTGATGGCAGCACCAGGTCCTCCCCCCAGGGCCTGGGCCATTGTGCCCTAGACCCCAGTGTCACAGGCTGCAAGACATACAGAGAATCAGTGTGAGCAGCCAGGAGTTGTCAGACTGAGGCCCCAAATTCCAGTTGCCAGTCGTCAGCCACAGGGGACTAGGCCTCCTCTTTTCCTGGGGAGTGGGCTTGGCCGAGGCCGAGCCTCAGCTACAGACCCAGCCTCAGGCCTACCCTGTAGCCACGGCAGCCCAGCTCACCTCCTTTCTGCACCTCACCTCTCTCACTTCCTCCTCCGTCTCAGTTTCAGCAGCCTGTTGGGGGCCCCTCCCAGGTGGGGGGACTCCCCCCCTTCCTCTATGAGGCTCTTCCTGCTTGCCCTAGTGCCCAAGCCACGAACTCCTCCCATCCACAGGATGCTGGGTGTGATGAGTCCCTTGGCTTGCCAGAGATGAAGATGACGGGCCACCATCAGTGTTGTGGTTACTAGCATATAAAAGCCAATTCCCAGTTTCAATAAGAATTATGCTTTTATGTTTTGGCTTTTCCCTTCATCTTCTTTCTTTTTGGGGAGTGAAGGGGCATTGTCTGGGAACAAGGGTCTCATGTAATCCAGGCAGGAGATAGCTCTCGCTATAGGTGAGCATGACCTTGAACTTCTTGACCCTCCTATCTCCAGACTCCTGAACGCTAGGATTTCAGGCTCTGGGGTTGCAGGTTTATGACACCAGGCCTATCTTAATGTTTTACTGTTTTTTTTAAAGATTTATTTATTTATTACATACACAGTGTTCTGTCAGAAGAGGGCACCAGATTGAATTGTAGATGGCTGTGAACCACCATGTGGTTGCTGGGAATTGAACTCAGGTCCTCTGGAAGAGCAGTCAGTGCTCTTAATCTCTGAGCCACCTCTCCAGCCCATGTTTTACTGTTTAAAAAATAATACCTTTTTTTTTCTCTTTTCTTCCAGAACCAGAGATGGAACCTAAGGACTTGCACATGCTAAGCAAGTCTGAATACTACACAAAGTACTTACAACATGAACGCGGTGCAATACTATTACATCATTCACGGAAGAAAAAAATTGACGGAGCAAAGCACCAAGGTAACCTGGACCAAAACATGCTCAGCGTTCAGTAGCAGGTGTACATGGGTTTCACCACAAGGACCAAGCCGAATGTGGGGCTCGGGTCTGGAGCCCATTCTCGTTCTCATTACGCCTTAGTTTGAGAAGTCAGCAATTAACGTGCCCACACCACAATCTCACATAGGGCTGGGGTGAGAAGAGACTTTTGAGAGAGAAAAACAATTTCCACAGTACTTCCGGCCATAACGCCTATGAACGGGGCAGGACGATCCCTCCAGGGTGGAGCCAACTCAACCCCGCCCTACCAAACCCCGCCCGCCACCCCAACTAGGCTCCGCCCGGCCTCCCGAGACCCTCCAGGCTGCGGCTCTTCCCGACCAGCGGAGGCGCTAGAGAGCAGGGAGCTGCGGGCGCGGCGCGGCGGGGAGGGCAGCCAAGGAGGCGGGGCGGCAGGCAGGGGCGGGCTGGGGCGGGCGGAAGGAGAGCCAGGCCGGAAGGAGGCTGTGAGAGGGCGGGAGGCAGGAGAGGGCCCGGAGCTGCTGGGCCGGAGCGGCGGCGCCGCCATGTCCGACAGCGAGAAGCTCAACCTGGACTCCATCATCGGGCGCCTGCTGGAAGGTGGGCAGGGGTAGGGAAGGTGCGCGCGCGCCAAGCCCAGGCCCACTCGCCGTCCGGAAGTGGCGCGCGGGCGGGCCTGCGGCTCCCGAGGGCCAGCGTCGCTTGGGCGGGGACAGGCCGTGAGGTCCTGTGGCCACGGCCACCTCCCCGTCCGCGCGCCTCCGCTTTGGAACGCGCTCTGGGCCCGGGGACGCACGCGTGGCCCGGACTCTGGGTGAGAAGCCTGCGTAGCTAGCTGGGAAGAAGTCCCGGAGCGAGGAAGGTCCTGAGAACAGGCGGCTCCCTCGGGCCTCCTGTGTGGCTGAGGGGGTCGGGTCTTGCGTTTGGAGGCCTGAGGCAGAGGTTTCGGAGCGGCTCCCTGGCAACAGCTGCCCGTGTTGAGGGTGCATGACACCCACCCCCATCCTGTCTGCGAGGTCAGGGTCCTAAGACCCCCATTCCGTACCCAGTGCAGGGCTCACGGCCTGGAAAGAATGTGCAACTAACAGAGAATGAGATCCGTGGTCTGTGCCTCAAATCCCGGGAGATTTTCCTGAGCCAACCTATTCTTCTGGAGCTCGAGGCGCCTCTCAAGATCTGTGGTGAGCCCTTGCTCAGAACCCCTTGGCTTTTTGTAAATAGCCCCCACTACCTGTTTTTTTCCCCTTTCTTTAGCCCATTGCCGGCCCTGTGCTCGTTTAGATCTTGCACCTGTCTAGGTTTTTCTGGTTCTTAGGTGACATCCATGGCCAGTACTATGACCTTCTAAGGCTGTTTGAGTATGGTGGCTTCCCTCCAGAGAGCAACTACCTCTTCTTGGGGGACTATGTGGATCGTGGTAAGCAGTCTTTGGAGACCATCTGCCTGCTGCTGGCCTATAAGATCAAATACCCTGAGAATTTCTTTCTGCTTCGTGGGAACCACGAGTGTGCCAGCATCAACCGTATCTATGGCTTCTATGATGAATGTAAGTGCTTGAAATGTTGCAGGCTTCCCAAAGCTACTTTCCCAGCTTTCCATGGGCCCCTTATATTGGTCTGGTGCCAAAAGACCTCTAATGTACTATGAACCATGTAAGGCCCCCTTCACATGCTGTCCTCCCTGACACTCAGGAAGGACCTGGTGAATGGAGGTTTGTGGAGGACTGCCCATTTGCTAAAGTCCCCCCCACAGTCCTACCTGATGACACCCACCTCTTTTTTTTTTTTTTTTTTTTTTTTGGTTTTTTTCGAGACAGGGTTTCTCTGTGGCTTTGGAGACTGTCCTGGAACTAGCTCTTGTAGACCAGGCTGGTCTCGAACTCACAAAGATCCGCCTGCCTCTGCCTCCCGAGTGCTGGGATTAAAGGCGTGCGCCACCAACGCCCGGCGACACCCACCTCTATTACATCCCTTACTTAAGCATTTAGGGTGTCTGTATAATAAACCAGACCAGCTTTTGGTTTGGCCTGATCCGTGGGACCAGAGTGGGTGCCAGCATCGAGGTTGGGCCAGACTGGAGTTCAGGTTCTTGTGGACCCATGTGTTAGAATTCTGGAATGTAGGTCAGGACAGTGCAGGGAGAAGGACTTAAGCCTACCTTGCCTACAAGTCTTCTCTCCCAGCTATGCCATAGTAACCCACAGAATACCCTGGAGTACACAGGAACCTAGACTGAGGGTCCCATGAGGTGGGTGGTCTTCCTTATAAGCCCTCTCCTTCTGTGCAGGCAAGAGACGATACAATATCAAACTGTGGAAAACTTTCACTGACTGCTTCAACTGCCTGCCCATCGCAGCCATTGTAGATGAGAAGATCTTCTGCTGCCATGGAGGTTAGAGTGGTTGTGGGGCCTGTGCCTAGGGCTCTTGGGCCACATCCTTAGTTGTAAAGTTGTTAGCGGAACTCTTCTCAGTTTCCTGGAATAGCTCTCCTTGAATCTCATCTTGGATGTCACTTATTGTAGGAAGTCACTCACACCCCAGTTTGGCTGCACTCTTTCCTGTTGTGGCATTTGGCATCCTGTAGGCAACTCACTCATCTCTTTCCTCCTTGGAGGTCTGGTCTTTGCACTTTTAAAAGCTGAGGGATAATGAATTCTACCTGCCTGGATTTTAGGAGTCCAAAAGAGCACCACCATTGGGAGGGGAGGGCTGATTCCCAAGAGCTTCTGGGCACGGTAGAGTCCTTGCTTTTCACCCTAAGGAATGGTACCCACTCCCTCCAGGCCTGTCTCCAGACTTGCAATCCATGGAGCAGATAAGGCGTATTATGCGGCCCACTGATGTGCCTGACCAGGGCCTACTGTGTGATCTCCTGTGGTCTGACCCTGACAAGGATGTTCAAGGCTGGGGCGAGAATGACCGTGGCGTCTCCTTTACCTTTGGGGCTGAGGTGGTAGCCAAGTTCCTGCACAAGCATGATTTGGACCTCATCTGCAGGGCGCATCAGGTGGGCTGGTGGCCCTGGAGCAGACTGGGGGTGGTGAGCTGCTTAACTTCTAGACCAAACAGTTCCTATCCTTGCCCAGGTTGTAGAAGATGGCTATGAGTTCTTTGCCAAGAGGCAGTTGGTGACACTCTTCTCAGCTCCCAACTACTGTGGCGAGTTTGACAATGCTGGTGCCATGATGAGCGTGGATGAGACTCTTATGTGCTCCTTCCAGGTGGGTGTGGGGATGAGGCTGTCAGACTGCCTGGCTCAGCAGCAGGAGCCTGACCAGCCTTTTCTCTTTCAGATCCTCAAGCCCGCGGACAAGAACAAGGGGAAGTATGGGCAGTTCAGTGGCCTGAACCCTGGAGGCCGTCCCATCACCCCACCCCGCAACTCTGCCAAAGCCAAGAAATAGCCTCCATGTGCTGCCCTTCTGCCCCAGATGTAGGGTTATTTGTACAGAGATCACGCTGCCATGGGTCACACTGGCCCCTCAGCCCACCCATCATGGGGAACACACAGCGTTAAGTGTCTTTTCCTTTCTTTTTTAATGAATCAATAGCAGCATCTAATCCCCCAGGGCTCCCTCCCACCAGCACCTGTGGTGGCTGCAAGTGGAATCCTGGGGCCAAGGCTGCAGCTCAGGGCAATGGCAAACCAGATTGTGGGTCTCCAGCCTTGCACAGCTGGCAGCCGGATCCTAGGGCAACCCATCTGGTCTCTTGAATAAAGGTCAAAGCTGGATTCTCGCCATGGCCTCTCTCTCACTTGTTTCAGACAGTGGGCCAGGAGCCCTTTGGTACAAAGCCACCTGAGAGGGCAAACTGACTAGCTGGACGTGGGCCCAGCCAGGGCCACCCCAGTGGCACACTTGGGTCTAGAGGTTATTAGGATTCCAAGCCAAGGTCCAAGTATTGGAAAGCAAGAGAAATAGGTCATCCCAGAGGTTTGATAGGGAGTTAGTTCATGATTGGAAGAGGGTAATCAGCACTGTGATTGTTTTCTTTCTCTTTGTTTTAAAAGACAGGCAAGCCAGAGGAAGGTAAATTTCTAGCTCTGGCTAGACACTTAGAGCCTGGCCTGTGGCTCTGTAGTAAGAAAGGTAAGGAATCTGTCGGTATAGCTGGGCACCAGAAAGAGACATGATTGATACAGGTTGAGTAAATAATATACAACACAGACCAAATATGGTTGCCTGGGCAGCCTACAGCCAAGTTCGGCCTACCCCAAGCATAGGCCCTTTTCCATGCCCAGAGACTAAGTTCCAGCCCTGCCAGTGGCTGGGCTTGCTTCTGGTCCGTGGGCCTTTGGACACAAGCTTCCAGTTTCTCAAGTTCAGCCTTCACCATCACTGTCTTCAGCCAGCACAGGGCTGGGATCCTGGGTGGAGTGTACAGGGTCCAGGATGGAACCAAAGAAAAGTGAGCGAAACTGGAAAGAGAACAGAGAAAGCAGAGCTAGTTCTGGGAGCTGCTCCCTCCTTCACCTCTCATCTCGTACCCCAACCTCCAGCTCCTACCTTCTTGGGTGGAGGAGTCCCAGGCACTGTACTGGGCTCAGCTTCTTCCTCCTCCTCTGAAGCAGGGGCAAGGTCATGGGAGGGCTGGGAGACAGGTGGGAGGGAAGTGGAAGGCTGTGCCCGGGAGCCCTCACTGCCCACGGTGGTTTCCATGGCAATCATGTAACAGTCGATGTCATCATTGGTAAAGTCATCTAAGTGGGGTATGCTGTAGGCAGAGACAATATCAGAAGGAAGAGGGACACGGGCAGGCCCCACTTTGGAGGACTGAGGCCTCAAGACTGCTGGTGAGCTTTTGGTTTTATTACTTCCTGATTTGGCTGGGAAGAAAGGATGCAGGGGTTAAGTGGGGGCTTCCTGGAGGGGGTGGAACTGGAACCCCTTTGATCAGAGTTCAGGTAGGGGCCTGAGGGAGGCATCCTGGGGGCCAGCTTAGCTCAGGGGGGGGGGGGCCGAGAAGTTCTGTGAACAGGGCCACATGGGGCCCAATCCCTCACCTTCCCAAGGGACAGGAGCTGGAGAGCACCAGAGCCCAGGGATGTGCTGGGCTGCGAGCCAAACCAGACTTCCTCTGCTTCCACCACACTGAGCCCATCCTCCCCACCCACCTGCCCTTCCAGCCACCTGCTTTCCTCACACCAGGCAGCTCCCTGCCTCCCAGCAGCCCTTTCCCTCCTAGCCTGGGAGGAGGCTCAAAGGGGAGGCCTCCGCCAGAGAAGGAAGCCAGCAGGACCTTGGGGATGCCTCTTTGGATGGGAGGGGTCTCAGTACAGCTGACCATGGAGGCTGGAAGCCCTGTAGAGGCTGGGGCCTGACAGGAAGGAAGTGTGTACGGGGGAGGTGCAGAAGCTAGAGTAGCAGGCTTAGCCTGAGGTTTACAGAGACGACGGAGAGCTGGGTGGCGGTATCCTTACCTGTGAGCCTGCTTCTGAGGCATTGGCTGGCGGGGACTTGGGGAGCACAGGTCCTGGGAACATGGGTTTTGCTCTAAGAGTGTGGCCAAGACAAAGTGGCTGTCCAGCAAAGAGTCCTCAATGGTAAAGATGACTGGTCTGGATAAAGGAATGGGGGTGAGCTAGGTCATCCTGCTCTGCTCTAGGCATCCCAGAGCCCAACCTCCTCCCCAGTCTGCAAGCCTACAATTACCTGCCTGGAACATCAAAGTGGACCGTAAGAGGCAAGTTTGCTGACTCTGCAAAGCTCAGGAGCCCCTGGGATGGAAGAAGAAGCAGGTAGTAAGAGCCTGTGTCGGGCTGAAACACCAGGTGATGGTGCTGGTAAACTCACCCGAAATTCCTTAAGGCAGAAGGTGACAGCTGTCCCTTCTGGGGCATGCAGCTGCAGGAAGTCCTCCTCCCCAATGCTAGTCTCAGTGACCATGACTTTGTTGGTGCTATCTGGGGGCAGGCACAAGAGGAGTCCTTGAGTTCTTGCCTCACTCCAGCTCTGTTCGCTCTTGGGGCAGGTCTAATTCCCTCACCTGCCTCCTCCTGGTAGCTACGCAGGATGACCCGTCGGCCATGGCCAATGCCCAGTGTCACCTCAGTCAGTGCAGGGGGAAAGGACAGAACAGCATCTGCCAAAACCCTGTGACAAGGAAAAACAGCAGATATGCACACCGTGCTTTGTCCACATTTGTTTTTCCAGACGGTTTCTCTGTAGCTTTGGAGCCTATCCTGGCACTCACTCTGTAGACCAGGCTGGCCTCAAACTCACAGAGATTCACCTGCTTCTGCCTCCCGAGTGCTGGGATTAAAGGTGTGTGCCGCCAGTCAGGTGCGTTACCTACCTGGTCAGAAACTCAATAAAAATAAAGCCTAGACACAGCACAAGGATGGGCAGGCAGCACTGCATGGGGCAGGAGCAAAGGGCTGTTTGCTACAGGACTGAGAAACTGGACCAGCAGGGCAAAGGCCTGGTGCACCCCTTTGCACAAAAGGAACTGCAAAGCTAGCTGGGTGTAGTGCGCACAGCTGCTAGCTGCGGCTGCTTTGAGGGCCAGGATGGGTTTAAAAAACAACAGGGTCTCTTCACATAGCCCTTGCTGACCTCAAACTTGGAGCAATCCACTTGCCCTCTTGACTCTCCTTGAAGAGCTGGGCTCACAGGTGTGCACCACCATACCAACCCAGCTCCTGAACACAGGGACTCAAGAGTAGCTTGTGTAAAATAGCAACACCCTGTACACACACAAAGATGGAAAAGGGGTAGATCCTTTTTTGGGTTTTGGGTTTTTTGAGACAGGGTCTCTAGCTTGGGTTGGCCTGGAACGCAGAGATCCACCTGCCTCTGCCTCCCAAGTAATGGGATTAAAGGTATGGGCCACAATGCCAGGCCTTGGCTTCTGTCTTCTAAGGATACATAGTGCTGAACATTTGCAAAAAAGTAACACCTAGATTTGCTTCACGGCAACTTTGGGAACTGGAAATATAGCTAAGTACAGTCTGAGTACAGCCCTAGCACTGGGAGGTGGGGGCAACAGCACCCGGCTTCTATATTTGAATTTTGAAAAATTATTTTGTGTGGGTGGGCATTCTGTGGAGGGAAGAGGAGCTCAGATGCCCTGGTGCATGTGGAGATGAGCAGACAACCCACAGGAGTGAGTTCTCCTTCCACCATGTAGGTTCTAAGGAGTTTAAGCCTGATAACTCAAGTTGTCAGGCTTAAAGCAATGACCTTAACTGTTGAGCCAGCTTACTAACTTCTATATTTTAAATTATGTGAGAAGGAGAAGCAGTTGGGGCTAGGAATTTAGCTCAGTGGAAGAGAGTACCTAATAAGCACAAGGTCCTAGGTTTTGTTGTCAATATTGAGGGAAAAAAATAAGACAAAATGGCAATTGTTGAGCGGGGTGGTGTTGGTGCAGAGGCAGAGGCAGGCTGGAGTTTGAGGCCAGTCTGGCCTACAGAACAAGTTCCAGGACAGCCAGGGCTGTTTTACAGAGAAATTCTTTCTCAAAAAAAAAAAAAAAAAACATTCAATTTCTAATTTTTAATAAGAAGCAGCTCCTAGTGCCTCTTTCTCTCCAAAAAGCAAGTCCACCACTACTAACAGACCCTAGGGAAGCTGACACTGGGACCTGAAGGGACTTTCAGTCACTCTGAGAAATGAAGGGACGTTGGGCAAGGTGTATGGAAAGTACCCAGCATAGGCAGGGGACAGTTCACTGCACCTGCGCTGGTCTTCGGGATCTTCACTCTGCTGGAGCCCAGCCCACATCCTCCCTGCCCTGCATTCTCTGGATGCTGACTCCTAGACTCCAGCCTCCTTGCTCTGCTCTTCCTTTGGCTCAGTCTAGCCACAGTCCCAGCAGTTAGAAAGCAGCTGCTTTAAGAGGGATACCACCAGAAGAATGAGCAGGTCAGAGGGCTTTGGAGCTGTGATGCAGGTCAAAGACAGACCTTCAAGGTTATTGGGGTCAGAGATCTGCAGGCAGATCACAAATCCTCTCTAGAAAAGTGGTCAAAGCGTGCCTGAGTGGCAGAGAGCCAAGCCAGGCCTCTGGGATACAGAAGACAGGGCCCCACCATCAGTGGAAATGGGAAGAGGCCATGTCTGTTTTTGAAGAGCCAGGTAAGGGCCCAAATGTGCAGTGTGCACAGAACTCCCAAGTCTCTCTCATAAAGAGGTGTCTTTATGTGTATTCTGCATGAGCATACATGAGCAGAGGCCAGACTTCCTCAGGTGGCGGTTTACAGGTTTGTCCACCTTGTTTTATTTGAGACAGGTTCTCTTACTGGCCTAGGGTTGTGAGCCCCAGGAATCCAGTCTTTACCCAACCCCCTGACTAGAATTACAAGTGGACACCACACATTTATTTTTTTCTGAGACAGGGTTTCTCTGTGGCTTTGGAGGCTGTCCTGGAACTAGCTCTTGTAGGCCAGGCTGGTCTCAAACTCAGAGATCCGCCTGCGTCTGCCTCCCAAGTGTTGGGATTAAAGGCGTGCGCCACCAACGCCCGGCTCAATCAGACCACACATTTTTATATGAGCTCGGGGACTCAAAACCAGGTCTTCATACTTGCACATCAGACATTTTTCCGAGTTATCTCCCCAGCACACACACCCTTTTTTTTTTTTTTTTTTTTTGGTTTTTGGAGACAGGGTTTCTCTGTGGCTTTGGAGGCTGTCCTGGAACTAGCTCTTGTAGACCAGGCTGGCCTCCAACTCACAGAGATCCGCCTGCCTCTGCCTCCCGAGTGCTGGGATTAAAGGCGTGCGCCACCAACGCCCGGCCCCACACACACCCTTTTTGAGGCAGTCTTATATTATCTAGGCTAGTCTAGAGAGTCACTGGTCTTGAAACTCCTGATCCTCTCGACTCTAAGAACTGATGGGATGACGGGCAGAAGCTAGCCATGTCTGTTGAAAATGGTGCATTCCCAGAATGACACTCAAAAGCCCCAAAGATGGAAGAGACTCGGGGTAAGCTTGACACAGGGTGTACTCACCGTGCTGGTGCACGGAGCAAGTGGGGGCACAAGGCTGGGTTGAAGACAGCCTGCAGGGATTCACAGTCCTGGAAGGAGAGGTTGTGTGTCTTCTTGACCCCTGAATAAGGAGAAAGGGTCTCAGTGGGCTTGACAACCTTCACTTCCCCCACACCCACGGAGGGAACTCTTGGCTGGCCAGCTGCTTACTCACCATACTTGCAGTGGAGCTGGACCACCAGGTGGCTGTTGCTGCTACTGAGGGAGATACAGCACTTCTCCACAGTCTTCTCCACCATCGCCAGAGAGCGGAAGACGGACAGGAAGGACTGGGCAGGGTAGGACATCAGCCTGGCACTGTGCCTCCATGGACCAGCTCTACATCCCATGTAGATCCTTGTCCATCACTGGCCCAACAAAGTTTTAAATGGGGCTCCTACTACATGCAGGATGTCTGCACACTTCCAGGCCTTGTCCATGCTGTCCCCTTTGCAGGAAGGGCTGCTAACCTTTCTTGACCAACTTGAAAGTCACCACCCTCTCCGCAGCTCTTACAACCCTCTTACATCTTTACATCACTGCATTTTGCATGGAATTGCTCCCATATGAAGCTAATTCCCTCGTAATTATTTACTGAGTACCCTGGCACAGAGGCACAGCTGTGAAGATGCTTCGGCTGATCCTCACCTTCATCAAGATCTTACAGCGCAGTGGTACCTGACCAGGGGAAGCCGCCTGGTACTGCTGGAAGAAGAGCGGGGCAAAGAGGAAACAGGCATAGGCGGAACGGGAAGAGTTCACAGTCCGTAGGGAGAGCTGAGACACAAAAAAGCAGGCAAGATAGAGTTAGGGGCAACAGCAGGACCAACCCACCCCAATGGCCTGCCTTTTCATCCTGTGACTGTCCTCTTCCATCGCTTACTGAAACTCCCTTTCTCTCTTCTGTATAGCACGACCTCCTGCATGTGAACTTCCCAGTATCTGCCATGCTTGCTGTCCCCCTAAGTCACTTCAGCACCACCCTGCCTGTCACTTTAGGGAGGGCACATGCAGCCTCGGAAGACAAGGCCCAAACTGATGCCCCAAAAACTCAAGAGGAAACGACTGCGCCGAAATACCTGTCCATCATCATTATGCAAGGCCGAAAGCGAGTGCCAAGTCTAGGCTCCCCACTCCCCATTGAACCGCCCCACCCCTGAGTTCCAGCCTCTTACCCCGTCCTTCAAGGGTTCCAGATAGAGCTCGTCCCCGATTCGGGATAGCGAATGGACAGCCTTGCCCAGCACTACAGGGAGGAGAGCAGAAAAAGATTTAGGGGGACTCTTCCGGCTTGCTCACGTGCCCCGCCGCCAAGCATATCCAAACTCACCCTTCACGTTGCCGCCGGTGATCAAGCACTTCATGGCTCACCAGGACTGAACTCGACCCTAATTTGCAACCGTACCGGGACAGGACACAATCCACAGAGAGTCCCAGAAGCCACTACAGATGACTTAAGTTTCCTTCCCGCGCGCCGTCCCCTTCCCCTCCGTCCCCCGCCCCGAGCCCGGCCTCCGCATCCTTATTGGTCCACCCGAGGCACCTCCGTCACGTGAGAAAAACGTTTCTTGGCCGGGTTGTCACATGATTCAGTCAGTTCCCGGGGCGTGGCCTTTGCCACGTGACTCCAGTGTCAGCTCCTGACTCATTCATCAGGTCTAGGTTTCCCTGCCCAACCCTAACCTTCCACTCCTTGCAAAGCCTTGCAATTCCACTGGGCTCCGCTGGGCACACGGGACGAAGGGCACACAGGACGAAGCTCCCGAGCAGCAAGGTGCTAGCACCAAGTATCAAGCCTTGGATCAGAGTTCAAGCTTGGGAGGAGTAGATCCTCCCGGGTCGTGGCTACAACCACCAGCTCCCCCCTCTCCGAAAAGTTAACTTGCTTTAAGAGCCAGGAGAAGGAAGGGGCTGTTCATTTTGGTTTCAAGATCCCTCCCTCATTGGTCTCCATAAATGCACGGAAAGATTAGGTTCTGGGGCAGAGAGGGGTAGGAAGGACCTGACAGGAGGAGCAGCAGTGGTGCAATGGGGTGAGGCACTGTATGAGTAGGGGCACATGGGTAGATGGGGTGTCCTGAGCCTTGCAGGGGAGTTGGGGCTGAAGCGATAAGTGGGAAGGCTTAAGCACTAGGCATGGTTTGTGTGCATTTTACCATTTACCCCAGAGTGAAAGGATGAGAGTTATCAGCTGGAAGGCATTCACTTGCCCTGGGTTAGTTCCCTCAAGCATAGAAGGGGCTGCCTGGAGCAAACACCCCTGTGGTCCTGTGGGAAATGGAGAGGCTCTATTTATTACCCAGTCCCCTTTGTTTTTCTGGGCTCCTCTCCCTCTTCAGCTTTTTTTCCTTTTTTTCCTTTTTTTTTTTTTTTTTTTTTTTTTTGGTTTTTACGAGACAGGGTTTCTCTGTATTGTTTTGGAGGCTACAGTCCAGCCCGGCCTCGAACTCACAGAGATCCGCCTGCCTCTGCCTCCCGAGTGCTGGGATTAAAGGCATGCACCACCACCAGCTTTTTGTCCTTTCTTAAGGCCTCCTGGGAGGGAGTTGCTTTCCCTTTCCACATCCAAGGTAACCAGTGTAAATGTAGAAGCCTTCGGCTCACTAGACTAGGAGTTAGCTGTTATAGTCCTCTCCCCACTTGTTCAGCTCTTCAGTAGTTCCTGACTACTTCATCTCTAGAACAGACGGCAGTGCCCCCCCCCCCATTGCTATTTGCCCTCCTGGCCAAACACACAGTTCCCAGTGATCTGCCGCCACTGCTTTAACTCTCCTGGCCAGAGTCCAGTCTCTGGGTCTTGAATTTGCAGGACCCAGGCCGTACCCATGTCCCCACCTGTGATCACCTATCTCCAAAGCCCTGTCCCCACCTGTGATCACCTATCTCCAAAGCCCTGTCCCCACCTGTGATCACCTATCTCCAAAGCCCTGTCCCCACCTGTGATCACCTATCTCCAAAGCCCTGTCCCCACCTGTGATCACCTATCTCCAAAGCCCTGTCCCCACCTGTGATCACCTATCCCCAAAGCCCTGTCCCCCACCTGTGATCACCTATCTCCAAAGCCCTGTCCCCACCTGTGATCACCTATCTCCAAAGCCCTGTCAGGCCCTTTGGTAGCCACTTCAGCTGCTTCTGAGGCTGTGGCCTTCTGACTCATACAGGCTTCTCCTCCTGGGCTCCGCAGCAATGATTCCCTTTGTAGCCAAGGTGCTTATCAGTTTCCCCATGTGTTTAATATTTGTGTTCCCTGCTAGTGTGGCAGGGACTGCTTCTGTTTTGTTGTTCTGTGTGCCTCAGACACAGCCTAGGATTAATTGGTGTTAAGCCAGGTATGATGGTTCATATTAATTCCTGCCACTAGGGAAACTGAGAACTTGAAAGGCCAACCTGAGCTACATAGCAAGACTCTGTCAAAAAATAAGTTAATTTAAATATGTGTCACAGGCTAGGTTGCTCCAAATCACTCTGAGTGGTAAGAAAAAGAAATCTAGCCAGAGGTTGGTGGCACACGCCTTTAATCCCAGCACTTGGGAGACAGAGGCAGGCAGATCTCTGTGAGTTCGAGGCCAGCCTGGTCTACAGAGGGAGTTCCAGCAGAGCCAAGGATACAGAGAAACCCTGTCTATAAAAACAACCCCCCAAAAAAGAAAAGAAATCTAGCTTCCACCCTCTGCCCATAGTGCCCCTTTCCTTATAACTACTCTCCCTATACTCAGCACCCCAAAACATAACTATAGGACCACACATGGTGGCACAGGTTTGTAATCTCAGTTTCTTGGGAGGTTGAGGCAGAAAGATCACAAATGCAAAGCCCATTGAGTCTACTTAGAGAGTTCAAGGCCAACCCCAGCAGTTTAGTGAGAAAGGGCTGGTGGGCCAGGGAGATGTGGGATAAAAGTGCTTGCTGTGCAAGCCTGCCAACATGAGTTCTACCCCAGGGGCCATGGTGGAAGGAGAGGGCTGATTTCTGAAGGCTGTCCTCTGACTTCCACAATTGCTCAGTGACATGCAAGTGCCAGCACTCTTAAACACACCAATAAGGGGCTGGAGAGATGGCTATTCAGTTAAGAGTGCTGGCTGCTCTTCCAGAGGTCCTGGGTTCAATTCTCAGCACCCACACGGAAGCTCACAACTGTCTGTAACTCCAGTTCCAGGGGATCTGACCAATGCATATAAAATGAATTTAAATAATTAAAAACACGCCGGGTGGTGGTGGCGCATGCCTTTAATCCCAGCACTCGGGAGGCAGAGGCAGGCGGATCTCTGTGAGTTTGAGGCCGGGCTGGACCGATAGCCTCCAGAGAAACCCTGTCTCATAAAACCAAAAAAATAAAAAATAAAAACACATTAATAATAGATGAAAGAAAAATAAAGGGGCTGGAATGTATCTCTAAGTAGAGCACTTGTCCAACATTCCAAAGGCCTTGGGTTAAACTGGGCAGTGGTGGAGCACACCTTTAATCCCAGCAATCAGGAAACAGAGGCAGGTGGAAGCCAGCCTGATCTGCAGAGTGAGCTGATGGGCAGCAGGAGCCACACAGAGAAACAGTCTCGAGAACAAACACAAACCCTGGGTTCAATCCCTAGTAGTACACTGACACAGATTTAGCTGTTGATTTCCTGTTCCTTCCTCCAAAGATATCCTCCCACCTTACCCAGGATTGGGTAAGTGTGGTCCTCAAACATTCTCTACATCCTCCTCTGCCCCTGCCCTCTACCCCCTGCCTGAGCAACAGGAGGCAGACCCCAAGGCTCCCTAGAGGTGAAGGAGAAGGCTTCTGACTGTCTTATTTCTGCCTGACACACTGGGCTGGAAAATACTGTTGGCCTGAGGTCATATGCACTAGAAAAAGGAGACAAGAGACACTTTAGAGTGATCGCTCTCATACTCAATGCTGGAAACCATTTGTACCTTCTGCCGTACACAGGGCTGGAGGAGGACAAGGAACACAGAATGCTCACCCTGACCCCTTCCAACCTGACACTTAGATCCTGGAGGACTTCCCTATGCTGCGATCCTGGGAGAGAGACAAGCTACATCTAGGATATGCTCCGCATGCCATGCCTGGGTTGTGAGTCTAGTAGGAAACTTCCCAGTCCACCAGTCCGTTGTGCAGTTGGCACACCCAATCATGCACTTTTGCCCCAGAGGGGCAGTGGGAGAGGGGAGAGGGACCCATAGAAACATTGTCATTTTGGGTGGGACATGGATCACCAAAAAGTACTTGGGTCGCTGGGCGCTGGTGGTGCACGCCTTTAATCCCAGCACACGGGAGTAGAGGCAGGTGGATCTCTGTGAGTTCGAAGCCATCCTGGTCTACAGATCGAGCTCCAGGACAGGCTCCAAAGTTACAGCGAAACCCTGTCTTGAAAAACAAACAAAAAAAGGACTTGGGTGCATCCTGAAAGTTAAGAGAGCCAGGTGTGACTCTAGCTCTACTCATGAATGGCCTGGAGCAAATCAAGACCTCTCTCTGCATCTCCATTTCTTCCTCAAATACAGTTGGATGAGATGATCTCTCAGGGTTTAACCCCCAAACTTCCAGCACTCACCTTACCCATACGAGAGGAAGCTTCCTACAAGCAGGTATATCTGTGTAAATGCAAATGTATCTGGGGATAGTGATGAGAGTGGTTACCATTTCAAATCTTTAAAACCATTATCTTCAGCCAGGTGGTGGTGGGGCACACCTTTAATCCCAGCACTTGGGAGGCAGAGGCAGGCCTGTGAGTTCGAGACCAGCCTGGTCTACAAGAGCTAGTTCCAGGACAGCCTCCAAAGCCACAGAGAAACCCTGTCCCAAAAAACCAAAAACAAAAACAAAAAACATTATCTTCAAGGATTCCTTCCCTTCTATTGCCACTTCTCACCCAGCTGGTTAGGGCTGAATTATAGGAAGCCCAAAATGGGAACTTGGTGCTCAGCCATTCACTAGTTCAACACACACTGGGTGTGATTTTTCAAGTATGGGACAGACGAGATAAAGTTCCCTGCTCTTGGAGTAGTATTTGGATGACAGTGCTGTGGGGGGGGCACATGGAATGGGATAGAAGGACACTGGTGGAGGAGAGCCTCCCTCCTCTAGAGGAGCATGGCCTGGAGCCCTGAGGGTGAGCTGCACCAGTGAGAGTCAGAGCTCTGGGCTGGCAGTAGGACTGAAACTAGGGGCACAGCTGACAAAGAACAGAGGCTCACCTAAGCCAGTGTGAAGTTGCACCTTGGAGAAGGCCAGGAATCTGTGGCTCTGGGAACATGCTGTCAGACAGTCAGGTCCAGCACATCAAGAAGGCTCCGTCTCTCCATGGTAAGGGCTCTGCAGTCCTATTTATAGATGACACAGGCAGGGTTGCTCCAGGAGTTTTGCTAGACTGGAGTAATTAAAAAGCAGAAAGGCAAAGGAGTTTGGGGAGTTAGAGTTCACTTGGGTTTGTCTTGATATAGGCTGTACATACAAGATATGGCATTCGTGTACTTACTCTGGGATAACCAACTGGACAGAGTGATTGTTGG